TGTGATCACTTTTTGTGACCTTCCGACAAGCAAAGTCAATGGGGGAGCCAGAGTACTTAACTTAATAGCGCAGTGATTCACTTAACAACTGTGGCAGGAAAGGTCCTAAAATGGGGCAAAACTCACTTAACAACTTTCTCACAGCCGCAGAAATTTTGGGCTCAGGGGTGGTTGTAAGGTCAAGCACTACGTGTAGTAAGTTAAGGGTATATGAGCTCTGGTTCTGCCTTTGCTAAGGGCTGTTCAAAAAAGGGCCAATGCTTTGCTGGAAGCCCAGTATGTACTGTTTCATTTTTTGCAGGCTAATAAGATTATGTTGTATCTTCAAAGTGATTTTGGTTGCATTAGGTGAGCCAGGATTGACACAACAAATTGAATTTAGGACTGCAGCCTAAGGCATTGGCCTGCTTAGGAACTAATTTCGTCAGGAATGGTACTTTTTAAGATGGACAGAGAATCAAATTTGGCCATCTCCCTTTCCTTTCCTCTGTCTCCCCCACTTGGTGCCATGGACAATATATTGTAGGCCACAGAGGTTTTTTTTAGAGGTTGAAAATGCAATCATGGATAACAAAAACACGTGAACCGAGAAGCTTTCCTCCATTTCACAATGTTACAACTTGAGATGGTTTTGTGTATGTGTATGTATGTATGTATGTATGTATGTATGTATGTATGTATATATATATATACATACATGAAATTATTCCTGATATTTATTGAGGAGCCATCATCTGCTTCTATGCCATTAGGGTATTCTTTAAGCTTTCTCGTCCACTTGATAACTTTTGTAAAGTATTGTTTCATATAATGGTTTCATGCCTGTGTGCCGCCCAGAGCGGTGATGGAGTCATGGCTAATAAATAAGTAATTAACTATTGATGCATTGTTATATTAGTGCTCAGACTGGAAAGTCTGCTCTGAATGCATATGTTAATTGACTACTTATTATTCAGTCTTGTATGCGGATAAATTTTTTCTTCCCCCTCATTCGAGAACAACTGTAGAGCTCTAAACACAAAAACATTGCTTTTGAAAGGGTTTTTTTAAATTAAATAAACGAAAACTAACTATCCCCTTCTACTTCCATTACAAAAATAAATGAAAAACAGGAGGAGGAGGAGGAGGAGGAGGAGGAGGAGGAGGAGGAGGAGGAGGAGGAGGAGGAGGAGATGAAATCTCCACCTTGGGGTTTCAAAATTGTTACTACTTGTACTTATACAACTGAGAAGAATAAAACAATGAATAATTAATATTTGATATATTTCTCTAAAATAACATTTGTGCTAATGTGTGTGTGTGTGTATGTATGTATGTGTGTGTGTATGTGTGTGGAATTGGCTGTGTAAAACTGGGAACGGCGGTCTTTTTTATTAAAATTAAAAGTAGAACAAATCAGGACCAATGAAAGGCACTCAACAGACCTATGCTGAGCTGAGCTGTCCAAGGTGCCTCTAAAGCAGGGGTGTCAAACTGCCAGCCGTGGGCTGGATGTGTCATGGCAAAACCGCGCCCACCCTATTGCCGGCAATGGAAAATAAGTCACGATATGTCACGACATGTCACGTGACTTTGCGAATTTGACACCCCTGCTCTAAAGGGTGGTGAGGTTTTATGTTGTAATTTTTAATGTTGTAAGCTGCCAGGAGTCACCTAATTTTGAGTTGGGTGGCCATATAAATTTGTTTAATATATTTTATCTGCAAAACATCAGTTAAGTTTAGATTGACCTGGATTTGGGGAAAACTGTAGCTGATTCTAGGTAGGTCACTCAGCTTCCCTCATTTGTAAATCATTTCTCTGCTCTTGTTAATTTGGAAGCTATGATGACATGTCTAGATAATTCTCCTTACAAGGGGAAGCAAACACTCCATCAATTCCCCACTACAGTGCCTTCAAAGAATCAAAAATGTGACAATAGATAAGGATAAAGTCATGGTCTCATTTGATGTCACAGCTCTTTTCACATCCATAGACTCAGAATTAGCCAAAGAATCTATTACAACATTGCTCCATGGCACACCTGACAACCAAATACATGAAAATTGAACAGCCAGGATCAATGCAACAGAAAAACTTATCAACAAATAAAAAGTACACCTATGGGATCACCACTTTCAGGACTCATAATTGAGGTCATAATGCAATGTCTGGAATCAATAGCCCTCCCACAAATGAAACCCAAAATATGGATCAGATACGTAGATGACATTTTCATCATAATAAAAAAGACCAATTAGAGAACACCCAAAAAACCATCAACAACATCTTCAAAGGAATCCAATTCACCAGGAAAGAACAACTCATTGCCCTTCCTGGATATCCTGATCAGCAGAGACTATGAAGGCAAACTAGAAATACAAGTGTACCAAAAAAACCCACCCACATCAATCAAGTGCTCCACTACCAAGATAACAACGCATCCTCCCACAAGAGAAGCTGTTAAGAACTCTACTTAGATGAGCACAAACACATTGCAGCAACTCTGAACAGCAGAAAAAGGAAATAGATCATCTTTACAACATCTTTCAACAAAATGGATATCCATGCAACTTCATCATCAATCCAATATAGCATAACCCACACAGCCGGTAAAAAGGATAACACTGCTATTCATCAAAAGCATCTCAGAAACCAACATCAGACTATTACAACTACCTGGAATCAGCATAAGCACACAAACTAACTAAAGCCTTCTAAAAGTAAACCAAAAGACCCAGCAGCTGCAGGAGAAAAAACAGGCGTCATCTACGTATACAGTGTAAAGACTGCAACGGCCACTATGTAGGACAAACAAGCAGAAGACTAAACAGTCAAAAGATATGATGAAAACTTTTTAATTTCACAACATATGGACAGACTTAACCACAGTTTCAACTGGGAAACTGTAACCATCCTAGACCAAACCAAGTCCCCAAACGCTAGACAATTCCTGGCAGCCTGGCACTCTGACAAATTGGCCATTGACAGTCACATAGATAAACAACATCTACCTACTGTGCAAAAGAGACAATCAACAAGCAAAAAAGGCAACAAAAAGACCAAACACCTCCCCACCAGCAATCAGCAATCAGATGAGTATAGATTAACTCCTAGATTAACATCAGACCAACAATCAAGTAAACAATACCCCAATCAAGAAATTGCCAAAGAAGCCAACAGCAAACAGCCCAACCAAAGAATCGCTAAGGCCACCTCCACCAACACCGACAGACCAGGCCTCTTAGAATATAAACTGAGAGTAAACCCGACTCCTTATTAGCACTGATGATGTTACCTAGTTTGGATAATGAAAAGTCTATAAGGAAACAATCAAGCTGAGAGAACACCAAGGACTCCTAGAGAATTATCTTGCGTAGATTGGAGAATGGATCTTTCCAGGAAGAGCTGAAGAAACAAACTCTTTCCGGCTTCCACCAGTCCCTTCCAGCTGGGATTCTCTCCAGCTTTTCCACACTAGAAAGCCTCCCAGACAGGACTAGGACACTTCTGACCTTACCCTAAACCTGAAAATTGCTTCTTAAAATTATGCGCTCTCCTATGCTAAGTCCAGCGTTCTCCAATTGCTGCTCTGCAAATGGTTTGGGAATTGAGTCCCCAGCCTAGCTGAGATGTTCAAAAAGGCTTTGGGTAAGAATGCAACTATCATCTTTTATGTCAAACACGCATCTTATCTGGTAACCTAATTCCATTCAGTAGCCAACTTGCCTACTAGTGAGATGTGCTGAGTGTCAAAGCAAAAACCTTTGCTTGAGGTATTTCTGCAGTTCTTGTCATCTGTTGGTTCTCTCTGTCCTCCTTTACGAGTTTGTCTATTTACTATTAATAAGGCTACCAACTTAGTAAGCATTTGTTTGTTACATTCCTGCCTGCCCTCCTGAAGTATTTATTTATTTATTTAATAAGCTAATTTATACAGCACCCATCTCACCAAGCAACTCTGGGCAGTTGACAAATGAAAAGTGTACAGTTCCCACAATAGCCCGGTGAGAGGAGATGAGTTGAGCTTGAGTGAATGGCCTATTCATCTGGGGAGCTTCCATGGCTGAGGAGAGAGAGGTTTGATCTCTCCACTCCATCCAATACCTTCACTATTATATCCCTCTTGGCCTTTTGGGTGAGAGAGGAGGCACAGCCCAGAGCGCCTCAGCTAGCTTCTGCAGTTGAGAACCTGAGTCTCCCAAATCCTAGTCCAACACTTTCAATCACTCTACTATGCATGATCTTCACGTTATTCTAACTTGTGCTGCTGGTTTTCACCTACCAATATGTTTGAACAGCAGTTTTCTTTTCATCTTTGGCAAAGACAATGCAACTGGCTTGGTGGAAAGGAACTCTAGTTCAATATAGCCAGATAAGGGAAAGTTGTTGTCGAGCTGTCAGTTTGATATCCAAGCTTGTGATTTGGTTGCAAATGTTTCATCTCCATTTGGGGGGGGGGAGACATCTTCAGTGCATTTGCAACCAAATCGCCAATGACAAGGTAATAATTTAAAAGCTAACCAGCTGATGTGATGTAAAATGTATGATGTAATGTTGGGAATGACTCAGCTGGGTCTATATCCCTTTAAGAGCCGTTGTATAAAAGGAAAAGCTTTGCTGCTGTGTTCTCTCTCTTCTGTTTCCTGAGGTAACTGCTGTGTGTTGGAGACTGCTGTATTAACACAGGTATGTATATTGTTCCTGGTGTAAGATATTGTAGATAGTGTAAGATAAACCACCATTTAATATAGACTGCTGTTTACTGTGTTTACCCCTGGGTTACCTCAGCGCAATAAGACTGTGCATGCTCTGACAGCCAAGCTTGGAGATCAAACCAACATCCCAACTACCAACCTGAGCTACGAATATTCAAACACATTTCAAAGTTGTTGTCAACCCCAAAAATATCTTCCTGTGAGCTCTGTATTTGGCTTTGCCTCACTTCATCAACAGGTGTGCAAAAATAATCCTCTTTATGTACCTGTCTAACGCTACCTTCTTTCCCTGTCTCTTCCCAGGAAAGCTTCAGAGAATTCTGCAGCTGGTGAGTCACTATCTCTTCTTCTTCTTTTGGAAAAAAAAAACTTATAAAAGCAGCAATCAGGCTCACTCCCCCCCACCCCCTGAATTTATATAGTTGGTCCATGATGTATAAAGGGAAAACTTGGATCTCACCAGATGGATTCATTTATTTTATTGATTTTTCATATTTGTACGGCCACTCATCTCACAAGAGCGTGACTCTGAATGGTGTTCTAGAGGTAATTAAAAAAGAAAACCAATAAATACATCAAAACAGCCGTTATTAAAAACTGTGAAAAGCACAAGACCAAGAAATAAAATTAACTACAGACAGGAAATCATTGCAAGATCTCCCCTGTCCTCTGGGACCCTCTCTGACAAGTCTGATGGTATAGCCAGGTCTTCAGAAACTTGCAGATTCATATAATGTTAGCCTAAATTGTGGCTGTAAACATGTTGTATATGATTGTGTAGGGTTGTCTATGGTTTAAGATTTTATGGCAATCACAGCCATAATGGAATTGTGGGACAGAACTAAAATGAAGCATCATATGTGGTTAAAAGACTGTTGTGAAATCCTTATCTTCTTGTTTAGGAATAAGAGTAGATGTGCTTCTTAAATAAAGCAATGGCCAAGAACATAGCAGAGATAAGCAATATTTTTATATTCCAATACTTGTATACCTAGACAACACACTGTTCAATACAGAAATGGAATTTTTGAGATAATAGTAATAATAATAATAATAATAATAATAATAATAATAATAATAATGATAACAGACAGTAAGTGCCGCCTATGCAAAGAAGCTGAAGAAACAATGGATCACTTGGTAAGCTGTTGCAAGAAGATTGCACAGACTGACTACAAGCAGTGGCATGACAAAGTAGCAACAATGGTGCATTGGAAGATCTGCAAAAAATATCATTTGCCTGTAAGCAAAAACTGGTGGGATCATAAAATAGAGAAAGTCATAGAAAATGATAAAATTAAACTGCTCTGGGACTTCAGAATTCAAACAGACAAGCACCTGCAACATAACACCCCAGACTTAACAATTGTCGATAAGAAAGACAAAAAAGTCTGGATAGTGGACGTGGCAGTGCCTGGAGACAGCAGAATAGACGAGAAAGAACTGGAGAAGATAACAAAATACAAAGACCTACAAATAGAAATAGAAAGACTGTGGCAAAAGCAAGCAAGGGTAGTACCAATAGTCATAGGCTCCTTGGGTGCAATCCCAAAACAACTGGAGCACCACTTGAACACCATTGGCATTGACAAATTCGCTATTAGTCAATTGCAAAAGGCGGCCTTACTAGGAACTGCTTCCATCCTACGACGATATCTGTAATACCATCAAACATCCACATCTGCCTATCCCAGGTCCTGGGTAAGGACTCAATAGGTAGACAAAATGCCAAATCCAATCTGAACATCTGGCTGACTGTGTGATGATCCATAATAATAATAATAAAGGTTTTTTTTAATCTTGCCATAAGGATGGCTGGATGACCCTGTGACATTTACAAATTAATGGTGAAGAAGTGGCCACAAGGAGTTTCCACCAATGTTCTTTTCTAGGCTCAAAGTGTTAAAATCAGCTCTTGTTTCCTTCAGTTTCTGTGAATTTAAATTTAAAATTATTTTGTATTATGCATGCTACACTTATTCATGCTTCCCAAACGGTGAGCATTTAAAGCCAGTATTTCATGCATCTCTAGGACATTTTCTAAAACAAAATCCACATTTATGCTCATATACAGAGTTACCCTTAGAACAAGATTTACACACCCTCCCAGAGATTTTGTGTGAGTTTTCTGAAGATACCTTTCAGTGGAGAATGCCAAATCCAGTGCAGCCGTTCATCCAGAGGTACAGCAGGCACCCCCATTTTTAATGCAAGTAACGTTGCTGTTTCTGAATTAGTCCATGATTTCTTATATAGTTATGGTGACTTGGCAAAATCCCCCTGCCCGAAGACTGATGGCTGGAAAGAAGCAAGGCCAGAATAGTGAAAGCAACACAGAAAGAACAAACAAAGCTGCTTTATACCAGGTCAGACTTTTTTCTAGCTCAAGGTGCAGCACTGGGGATTGATGCATGCATTCCATAGGGTCCTGCAAAGTTCTCTCTCTCTCTCTCTCTCTCTCTCTCTCTCTCTCTCTTTCTCATCTATTTCATCTATCTAATCTAATTTATTTTCTGTCCATCTCATGGTTCAGGCGACTCTGAAAATATCATTTCCCCATCACATGGGATTTTTCTAAAAAGAGTTTCCAGAGGCAGAATCTGGAATTGTCTGCATCCAAAGTCAATGGCCTATTACTGTCACTGGGCAGGATTCACATATTGCGCCAAGATATCATGTGGTTTGTTGGTGCGGGCTAAGCGTGAGGTATGAGCTCAGCTATTGTGCTTTGCAAACAGTGATTTATGATTTAACACATTGTACGTACCGCTTATTTTATAAATCATATTTAAAGCAAAACATAGTGTAAATGCAATGTGTAACCTTCTCTACAGTTGGGTGATTCTTATGCCAGGTTAGATCTGATTCATGCATCACATATATATAAGCTATAATTTGCTTAATAATAATAATAAAGTTGGAAGGGACCTTGGAGGTCATCTAGTCCAACCCCCTGCTCAGGCAGGAAACCCTATACCATTTCGGACAAATGGCTGTCCAGTCTCTTCTTAAAAACTTCCAGTGTTGGAGCATTCACCGCTTCTGGAGGCAGGTTGTTCCACTGGTTAATATGGTTTAATGAATAGTTGACCCAACAAGCAAGGCATACATTGTAGCTTACAAGTTGTAACGGCTGAATTCATACATCGTACTAAACATAATGTGAAAATGACTGTGGGAGACAGGAGGAAGAATTGTAGCCTAGATAATGTTCTGATCAATCAAGTCTGATACTTATAAAGGAGAATATGTGTAGCTCAGGGTTGAAATGGGGGGTCTTTGGTGCTCTCCGAGCATCAAGGACCCCTCAAATAAAATCTTGACTCCAAAGGAAGAGTGGGGGTGGACCTCCCTTAGGTTTTAGAGAAAATAAAAGTAAGGGAAGGAAGAGGTACTTTGAGATTTGCAGAAGTGATGCCAGTCCTTTGGGGTAGTTCAGACAGGAAATACCAACCCTGAGTATTAACACTGCCTTTATTGTAAGATTATAGTCACAGAAGCTTGCATATCTCAAAGTATCTCTCTCTTCTCTTACTTTTCTCCTGAAAAGGAAGGAGGGCCCCTTGTGAGATGCCTTCTCCATCCTCACCTTTCCTTCAAACTCAGACATTGTTTGTTGTCTAGATCAGGGGTTCTCAACCTTGGCAACTTTAAGACTTGTGGACTTCAACTCCCAGAATTCCTCAGCCAGCTGCTGGCTGAGGAATTCTGGGAGTTGAAGTCCACAAGTCTTAAAGTTGCCAAGGTTGAGAACCCCTGGTCTAGATAGTGGTTCTTCTCCTGTCTTCCAAGGTCATTCTCACATGCCATTGTATCCAGTGATTTTTTTAAAAAAATCCACATAATTGCTTAGCGATTTGTGAACCCATTCTGGAAGGGTTTTATTTTACAGTTTTGGACAACATAGTATATAGGAAGTGCTTGGTATCCTGCCAAGCTCTTCATCTGTGTAACTCAATATTATCAACAATAATTCTGAGTCCTTAGATCATAGCGCCACCAGTTCCAGGTAGCATAGCTATTTGTAAAAAAATGATGTGGTTAGGAATCTCTCAACTGGGAAAAAAGTATTCTCCAGGTCTCCAGCAGAAAGATTTCACATCATCGCCCACCTAATCTGCTTTATTTAACAAGCACAGCTAAAATCTGTAGTGTCCTGCTTTAAAAAAAATGTGCAGTTAGGAATCCTGCCTTTTGTGGAAACCGGAAATATTGATAAACAAGATTTATTGAATACTTGCAAAGACTGCATCCTTACAAGTCAGGTGATGAGCCGAAGTGGCGCAGCAGTTAGAGTGCAGTACTGCAGGCCACTTTAGCTGACTGTGTTCAGCAGGTCAGCGGTTCAAATCTCACCGGCTCAAGGTTGACTCAGCCTTCCATCCTTCCGGGGTAGGTAAAATGAAGACCCAGATTGTTGGGGGCAATGTAAATATATATATACATTGCTTACTGGTGTACACCGCTTAGAGAGTGCTTGCATTTAAAGCGGTATTTAAGTCTCATAAATAAATAAATAAATAAATAAATAAATAAATAAATAAATAAATTTACTAAATTAATTGCTTGCTGAATTAAACAATGAACTGAGTTTGGACACATGGGAGCAGAGCTGGATCCACAGGTTGAAATGTTGGAGGACCCATTTCTCATCTTCTAGAGATCTTCTGGGTCTATAAACTCTACCTCCACCTGCTTTGATGGTCAAATCAGACATTCTTGTCACTATTACCTATCTTCTACAGAAGGCAGGATCTTGCACCCCCCTGTCAATCTTATACAGAATAACAGAGTTGGAAGCGACCTTGGAAATGTTCTAGCCACCTCCTGCTCAAGCAGGAGACCCTGGCCTATACCATTTGAGGCAAATGATTGTCCAATACAGGTAGTCCTTGTTTAATGACCAAATTGAACTAATCTAAAGAAAAGAAGAAATAGGGGAGACACGATAGCAGTGTTTCAGTATCTGAAGGGCTGCCACAAGGCAGAAGGGGTCGGGTTGTTCACCAGAGCACCAGAGGGAAACAATGGTTGGAAACTGATCAAGGAGAGAAGCAACCTGGATCTAAGAAGAAACTTTCTGATAGTGAGGACAATCAACCAGTGGAACAGCTTACCCCCAGAAATCGTGGGCGCTCTATCACTGGAGATATTTAAAAAGAGACTGGACAATCACCCGTCTGAGATGGTATAGGTTCTCCTGCATGATTGGGGGGCTGGACTGGAAGACCTCCAAAATTCTATTCTATTCTATTCTATTCTATTCTATTCTATTCTATTCTATTCTATTCTATTCTATTCTATTCTATTCTATTCTATTCTATTCTATTCTATTCTATGCAGCTAAGATGGCGATGACAATGTAACTTTACAACCAATCCTTTACAGGTCTGTAAAGAATAGGAAAGCTCAAGTAACATCACTAGCACAATTGTGGTTTCACTTAATTGTAGTTGCCAAATGAGGACTACCACTATGTGAGAGAAATAGGGCCTCACAGTTGACAAAAAGTGGAAAAAAATGGGAAAAGTGTAACGAGGTTGGAACTAGAAACACCAAGCTTCTTCTTTTTTGTTTGAGGAGATAAGACTAATCTCAAAATGAATCAAACTTTATTTTAAAAAGGAAAAGAGAGAAAGTACGCACTGCTTTTTAACCTTGAGTAGTTACTCACAAAGCATTCAATGATGAAGAAAATCAAAATATAGGACGATTGTATTTGTTCATACATAAAAGTTATTAAATCTTGGCTATTTCAACAGGCCTTTGAGGAAAAATGATCTAAGAGGAATACATAGGACATGACTCATTGACATAAGAATATTTTATTACTTATATTATTTATTCTTATCATTTGTTATTTTAACCTTGTTTACACATGATTAGAATCAGTGAATCAGTCACAATCAGTGAATGATTGGAGCAGCATGTAAGCTAAGTGGCATGAATAAATAAAACTGATGAAAAAGATTCCAAGTTGAATAAAAACACATAGTGATTGAGCTTGTATAGAGACAGTAGATACTAGAAATAGATTAAATAAATTTAAATAAACAGAAAAACAAAGTAAGCACAATTTTAGGGTTGTTTTTTTTACTTCTCTACAGAAAGGATGATTTTGAAGAGGTATTACCTCTATGTCAATTTGTTATAGCACCTGGAAAATCTTTCTTCCTATAAATTCCAGCTTTAATGAGAGAGTGGTTTTGAATTGTCTTTCTCCCATGTCTCCATTTCAGCTCAGCTCCTGGTTTGTCTTTTTCCTGTTAGAACATTGTTTAAAATTTCCAAAAGAACAAAAACTTTCCTACACGGATAGGGAGAAATTATGGGGGAATTATTTGGCTATGTGATAAATTGGCCAGCTCTTCTGAGGAGGGTTCTGCTTGAGACATGTGTAATGTGTATTTCTTTGGCTGGGGAGTGGCTGTCAATCCTGTGAATGCAAAGTGATGTCACAACAGCATAATATATTGACCCATAACACTCAGCTACTAAAAAACAAAATGAGGTTAACACTAACCAAGCTTCACCTAGATTCAAATGCAGATTAGCATGGTATGAATGTGCCATATCATCAGCTTACATGCCAAAGAGCAACCTCTCCTATGAACAGCCTCTGATTCTCCACTGAGACATTGGCACAAAACAATAATGTGAATGTTGCTGTTTCCATTCTTTCCGATTTATACTTTATTTTTTCCCTCTCCATAGCTAATGTTTGGAACCTTCACCACCCATTTTCACCTGAATATTCAACCAGAGCTCTTCCAAGTGACTCCCTCTGGTTTCCAAAACCCACTGCATGGAAAGGATGGAGAAATTAATGTTGCTGCCAGTCCTGAATTCTGGACACATTGAGAAAAAAATGTCCTTTGCAGATGCCTGGAAACCTCTGGACTTCATTTCTTCATATCCTCTTCAACCGAACCTGAACAGTAGAACCAAATTTCAGGATCGAAGTTGCCTCTACTTCAGAAGTTCCACCCATAACTGAGCAGACCTGATTTTTGGATGAGTTCACTTAAGAGAAAAAGCCTTTACTTTAAGGCCAAAACTTGGGAGCTCTAACCTGAACTCTGGAAAAATCCCCCTCTGCCTCCTCCAGACCTCACTAGATATGGGTGACATGACAGAAAGAAGCTTGTGGGCTTTTGTTTTTAGGTTGCTGTTGAATCTAGACTGAAAATTAACCCAGAGAGGGGAAACTGATGTCAGGCAAGGATTGGCACTGGAGCTGCAATCCTGCAAAACAGAGAAAGGTATATAATGCAATTTCAACAAACCTGCCTGGCATCCCTGTCACAGCTACCAGGAGCAATCCCAGTCAGCAAAAGGCTGTAAAGTATGAAATTTTCCTGTAAACTGGCAGAATACTGTGGGTGATATTTCTTTCATCTTCTCTAGCAAAAGGCAGGAAGAAGCTCTTTTATAAAGTCTCCTGGGTCAAAGCTGGCGCTTCTTGAGTTAGTTGTCTACCATTTCACTCCCAGAATTCATTTCACTGGTCACTTTCCTCCATCTTCTTTCCTGACGGAAACTCTGTTTCCACCTTCTGCATTCACGGAATGAAAGTGGAGGTTTTCGAACCCTACTCAAGGCAGGAGACCTTGTACTATCCCGGCCAAATGGCTGTCCAATCTTTTCTTGAAAACCTCCAGCCATTGAGCACCACACCTCCAGGAGGCAAGCTGTTCTTTACTTTAGTACACCAAGGACACCACAGTGTGGATAAGGGGTAACCTGGTTTGTTTGTTGCTTAGCAGAATGTGCAAACCGGGCTTCAATGGCCTCGTTCCACAAACAAGAACAAATACTGAGTACTATTCACAAACCCATTCTATGCCGATCATTGAGGAGCAGCACAAATGAGAGCATTTTTGGCTTGAAATAAAATTTTGCTGAAAATCACTGTACAATCATTCCTTAAACCACCAACAGGTGAAAATGTTAGGACTTGAGGGGAAAGAAATGTCACTAATGTCAACCAGTTCTTATAAAGTTGAGCCAGAGCCTGCTTATGGGGAAACCTCTGGAGTGTTCTACCTTTGTTCCCCTTTTTTAAAAAAAATTAAAAATGAATTAACAAGATTTCTTGTTTCCCTACTGAATGGTACGCATGTGCACGAATAAGGAGGAGACTGCACTACCATCACATAGTTAACACTGCATTGTTTTTATTTTATCTGTAATAGAGTGATTTTTAATTTGTGCTTGACTGTAAATGTATTCGGGTCCTTCATGGTACTTGGCTGAATGTAAAATCAAGAGCAAATCAAAAGGCTGACCGCCAAGGCAACTAGTGCATCTTCTTGCAGGAGGCGTTGGACTGGAATTTTCAATAATAATAATAATAATAATAATAATAATAACAACAACAACAACAACAACAACTTCAAGTGTAAGCTGTGGAGTCAATCCTTGTGCAGCATTTAAATGATTTGCCTCCCCCCAATATCAACTGTGAAGGACATACAATACTTGATGCAAGCCATCAAGAGACACTAGAGTTTAGACTGTGCACAGTAGAAATGGGGAGAATAAATCAATCTGCAGAACAATACAGATCAGAAATCCAAAATACTGATTAGAAATGTTGCCATCTTTGTAGTGCTCCTGCTTTTCTAATAGCAACACAATCTAAGTAGTCCTTGAACTTACAACCATCTGTGCTGAAAAAAGTGACTGACAGTCTTTGCACTTAGGTTGTAGCGTCCCTATAGTCACAGGATCAAAATGTACTTGGCCACCGGTTATGATGGTTGCAGTGTCCTGGGATCCTATGATTGCCATTTGTGGTTTTTCTAATTGACTTCCAATGAGCAACGTCAATGGGGGAAGCCTGGTTTGCTTAACAACTGGTTTGCTTAACAATTCGCTTAAGGATCGCAGCAAAAAAAAAAAAAAAAATAGAAAAAATTCTTTAGTGACAGAAGTTCCAGTCCCATGTGGTTGTATGTTGAGGACTACCAATAGTAAAAATGGAATCGGGACTAGGTTATAAAAATGGGGCTGGAAAAGGAGAAAAGTGCTTTCTCTGATTGTGCAGACACTGTTTTTTCCTTCATCGCCACCCCTGATATTTCTAGTAGCAGCTACCAAAAGTTTTTCACAATTTCTTTAGGAAAGGATGCTGTAGTTCAGGGATCTTCAGACTTAGCCCTTTTATGACTTACGGACTTCAACTCCCAGAATTCCTCAGCCAGGCATGCTGACTGAGGAATTCTGGGGGTTGAAGTCCACAAGTCATAAAAGGGCCAAGTTTGAAGATTCCTGCTGTAGTTCAACACACAGGACTTTTTCTAGAAAGCTGATAAATCATTTTTTAACAGCTACAGAAATGAAGAAACAACGTAGGTGTTCATTCTACAGAACTATCCGTGTTTCCACGAAAATAAGACCAGGTGTTATTATTATTATTTTGCCTCCAAAAAAGGCACAAGGTCTTATTTTCGGGGGGGGGGGGTGTCTTTTTTATTCACCTTCTGCACTGACAGTCCTGCCCAGCCCATCTACTTCTGTAGCTGAAGGAGTAGTTTCATCCTGCAGCTGCATTCTGGCCTGCATTTCGCAGTCTGGCCTTTCTGGAAGGCTCTGCAGCCGAGGACTGAGCTATGAATTCAATCTATGGCTCGGTTCTAAGCTACAGTGGCCTTTCCAGAAATGCAGGCCTGACTGAGAAATGCAGGCCTGGCTGCAGAAGACGCCTCAGAAGAGGTGGGCTGGCGTGGAGAGGCCTGGCTGCAAGGTATGTGGGTGTGGGGCGCGTGGGGAAGCTCCACATCCCCACCCCTGCCCTAACTTGATTTTTAAGTGTGTGCCTCACCCCAAAACTAGGGCTTATTTTTGGGGTTGGGCTTATATTAGGCCCACCCCCAAAATCAAGCTAGGGCTTATTTTCAGGGTAGGCCTTACTTTCAGGGAAACGGTATGTAAATATGGAATTGTTTCAATTCACTTATTCTGCAGTTGAGCCAAGCCAGAATGCGGTTGGTGTGACTGTGGCTTAATGCCACGAACCTAGTCATTTGTATCATATTTAAGAAATCTTCATTAAAAGAGAATATGGTTTAACAGAATGTGTGAAGCCAGTCAATATATTTTATCTGATATGCCATTGCCATCTTGACATGTAAACCTACAGGGGAGAGGGGTTAAGTTAGACGTTTAGAGACCAACTGTTTACCCAGCTGGATTTATACACGTTTGTGGAGGGGCTGGTCCACAGAAGCAAAGGCCTGATATTTATGGGAGATGTGATCTGCTAAATATGGGAAAGCACAGCAGATAGTGGCAGCACTTAATCAACCTTGGCTAACCCAAGAAAGATCAGCAGGCTCAGGCCAGGTTAATACTTGGATAAGAGACCACTAGAAACCTCAGGGCTAGAGGCTAAACGGAGCACTAAAACCATATTCAGGAAGAAAGCAATAACAAAAAAAAAAAAAGTCCTTCCAAGCACATGCCAAGATAAATGACATGAATACACCCATGGAGTCAACAGGAGATGAGCTCAACTTCAGGGAGCCTTGACCTTAACTCACTTTCAAGTACGGGGAAAACAAGTAGAAAACCTCCTGTAACAAATTCACCTTCTCCTCCAATTATAATGCATTGCTAAAAGCCCCTTCAGGCAAAGCCCAGATTCAAATACATCCCAGAAGTTGGGGCCTGTTCAAATACCTATTTAATTGTTCCTACACGAGCGTGGTCTCTTTGCCTCAGCATGCTGGAATGATATATTATAAGGCAGATGACAACCCGATTACAGCCAGTTTCCATCCAATGTTGGCATGGAGGCTGCTTGGAGAATGCAAAGGCATCACTTGCGCAAAACACTGAAGATTTCTCTTGAAACCACAGCGTCTTCTTTTCCTCCCATTTCAAGGAGGGGCTCTTGTCACTTTAAACAACAGCTCTGTTTCTAAAATATTACAGATTGTCCTCGAGTTATGACTGTAATGGAGCGTGCCTATCACAGTTGTAAAGTCGTGACAGTCAAAAATCAGGGTCACTCCTTTGACTGATCCAATTTTTACAATTTTTGTGGCTGCCATTAAGCAAACAACGCGGTTAAGTGAACCAGTGGTTCACTATGGGCTGGTTTTTGCCAAAAAGTGGAAATAAATTTCAGCAAAACCATCACAAAACACGCTCACATCACCTCGGCACATTGCAAACAACTGCAAATGCAACCAGGTTGCTGAGCGCTCAGAGTGCGATCCTCTGACCATGCAGAGGGGTAATGTGCTGCAGTTTCGAATCTAGGTCATAAGAACTTCTAGCGAAGTCTGTCACTAAATGACAGGTCATAAGTCGAGGACTATCTGTACTAGCATATTTTGGAGGCAGGAATCCAGATAACCATCAAATGGCAGCAGTAAAACTGAAAGACTAGAGTTTTGCTGGTCAGAAACAAATTACCTAATCTAGAAAACCAATGGGTGAAAATGGTATATTCTTATATTATCTAGACAGGTAAAACCTCAGTAGTAGTTTTGTAGCTGTTAAAGCACCATTTTATTAAGAAAAGATAGGAAAATAAAAGGAATTCACCTGGAGCCGAGCAGAGCACCCTATTAAGGACATGGAAAGAAAAAAGAAGTGGGAGAAGGGTTGCTAAACCTTTTGAAGTCTAACAGGAAAGTGTTCCTCCCAGTTTTTAATTATTTCTTTTTAATCTTTGTTCCTGTATCGACAGCCATAAATAACAGGCATACTAGCGTTCTGTGCCTGCACCTGCTCAAATAGAACAGATTCACAGTAGGGATTTTTGAATGATTCCACCCCCACACACCCCCACACACCCCCCACCAATTCTCTTGCACTGCACTATCATTGGTTCTGCAATTTGAGCAAATGAGGAGCTTCATCATTTATCATTTTAACTTGAGCCAAGGATTTGTGAGATATAGGAATGGGAGGGATCAGCTGGTAAATGTCTGCAAGTTCAGCTTTAAGTCATGGGAACAAGCCCGGTTTAAATAGAAAGGGGCAACCCAGCACCAACTTTAAAAGGTGCCTAAGCAGTGACCAGAAACCTAGGGACAGTCTGCAATCCCAGAATTTGTAGACCTTTTGCCAATGGCTGGTTCTCTACCTAGCTGGATGTCCAGGCCTCATCGGCAACCAGATTTTTTCCATGTGTGCCTCAAAATTTGTATTTTTAATTTAGTAGGATTTACCCCTTAGAACAGTGATGGCGAACCTTTTAGAGACTGAGTGCCCAAACTGCAACCCAAAACCCATTTATGCATTGTCGAGTGCCGGGTGGGTGTGGCCCATTGGCTGGGTGTGGCCAATTGGGTGGGCATGGCCAATTGGGTGGGTGTGGCTGCGGTGGTAATGGTAGAGTGGGTGGGACTAAAAAGTTCAATCAATCAATTCCAACTCTGCAAGATCTTTTTTTTTCCTGCGAGAAGTTGAAATTGACTGATTGAACCTTTTTTTTTTTTTGTACACGGCGGCAGCGGCCTAAAGCAAAAAAGTTTTATAAAACCCAGCTGAAGGCCTAGGACTGGGGTGACGGCACATGTGCCCACAGAGAGGGCTCTGAGTGCTGCCTCTGGCACCCGTGCCATAGGTTCGCCACCACTGCATTAGAATATAGTTTTAAGCTTGTGTATCACCTATGTGAGTTGCTAATATGAGAAAAGAAATGACAAGCAAGCCTTTGTGATTTTGGTCTTGAATATGATGAGGTTGATATCCACTACAATTGGCTCCCTCGCCTCCACCTGATGGATAGCAATGATCTGGCAGAAGAGAGGCTGGGTAGCATTGAGCTATGAATTCTCTACAGCATTTTGCGTTCAATGCCCTTGTCCTGCCATTCTGGAATGCCATATGTAAAGAGCAGCTGACATCCATCTGCTGTTAAGATAATGCTTCCCTGTGAAACACCAGAAAAGGGAAAAGAGAAAACCTGCCAAGCTAAAACTGAGTGGTTTCATGGCAACATATATTGGATCACTGTTGAAACTATATTTTGTTCAAAACCAGAGTCATGTGTGATTGCATAGCTTTTGCTTTTCTACTAATGACTAGTCCCAGAGTTAGGCAAATCAGCCACTGTAGAATCAATTATGCAAAACAGACCTTTATACTTGAGGCAGAATTTATGTGACCTTTCAGATTCTTAAAGCGCAAAATGCACAGAGCTGTTTATAAGCAGCACCAGATCCAAAACAAAGGTTGCCCTGAGAAACTGAAATACCTTCCGCATTATAAAAACACAACAGCACAATAAAAATTATCCAGCCCAACTTTCTTTCTTAGAAAACACATGTTTTAAGAAGGGTACAAGCAGGACATGTGGTCTCCAATAATTAATTTTCAGGACTGTGCTCCGTTTGATCCTGGAAGTGATAAATAACTATATTGGTCTCTAGAGAGGCCAACACAAGGTGTTAAGCCATACTGTGACTTCTCGGCTATGAAGGAACCAAAATACTATGAATTGCTTAACAAACTCATGTTTAATACAGTTCTTCTAGTAATTTATAACTTTACTCTCCACCTGCTTGTAAAATTCTCCTTTAGAACTATGCTTGCTTGGTGACCTTGCTCCCCCTTTTGGTCTATAAAAATAACAAGGTGTATCTTTTTCACTGTTGCTGCTAGAGGTGTTTACTTTTAGGGTTTTGCACATAAAAAAAACTGTGGCATGCAGTAAACTACACATTTTTTTCCTAATGCCTTGTGGGATGGGAAAAATAAACTAACTTTTTCCTGGCTGAAATGCACATATACTTAAAATAGGAACATCTGCAGTACTGCTAGAACAGAGTAAGAGAAGAATCTTCCACTAGATTGCTAGTAACTTCTCAGAAACACAGGAAACTTGCAATCCTTCATAATGTGGGACCAGGTCCTGTTGAGAATCAGATCCCCCACCCTTAGAAAAAAAATTTAAAACCTTAGTTACCAGATCAAGATACAGCACATCAGTCATTTTCCTATATTCTGAGGGACATCCATTTAAGAACTTCATATCTTATTCATTGAACGGACATTTTATTCTTCAGTATGTTTATATTCTGCTTCTCCAAGAAGCTCAAGGCAGCTTTCCCACAGTTCCAAACATTCCAAATGAACATAAATCTGACATATTAACCAGCAAAACCCATACAACTTAAGTATTCAGACCACAATTTTGGCACAGGCTCAGCACTTCAAGATGCAAGAGCTTGACAGGATGGCATAGTTTTTCAAAACAGGGTGCCTTCCAAGCATTAGGACAACAACACCTGGCATTTCATAACAAAGGGACAGTTGTAGCAAAATCATCAAAACAATGGTTTACCCAAATAACCAATGACTTTAGTTCGGCCACCTATGGTAACGTACTTTAAAGCTATTTCAGGAATGTTTTAAACCAGGAAAAATCCTAACTCTCAATGTTTCAAGCAAAATCCTAATTGATGAAATTGAAAGTGTAAGGAGGTTTATAACTTGGGAGGGGGGAGAACTTCTTTGATTGAGTTTCTGGTCTCCTAGCGTTAATGCATACCAATTTTCCACAATATTATGCATGTCATTTCTATTATGCTATTTAATGTTAAGGCCACCATCCTCAGAAATATGTAGGCAGCTTGTTTATCTGCCAAGCATGACTTTTATTCAACTGGAATTAAATTGCTGTACGAAAGAATGATGCAAATCTAATAGGTCACATGCAAAATTTGACAACTCTGTAGTGCACGACCTTGAGATGGTGGTGTTGCTTAAACTCAGAGTCACATTTCTTAGGCAGGGATCCAGGAAGCCAAGGCTTTAGTTCAAACGTGTGAATCTATACTATACATTTTAATGCTTTAAAAAATATGAACATTTTCTAACAAGACCAACAAGAAACTGTCTAAATAACCTCCTAATCATTTTACCCAATATGTGTTTTCTTGTAAAAATATTTTATAGCATCTTATAAGCAATTCTTGTGTTTGCTGGGCCAGGCCACTGAACTCTTCCATCCAATGTCCTGTTTTGCAACATGTTAGCTTTGAAATATGGCAGTCACAGAGGCATAATCCATTTTGTCAGCTGATTATGAGCAAACAAACATATATCTTACTTCTTTGGTGGAAAAAAGACAATAATACTATACAAGCTTATAAAACCTGCCTAGATTTGTACATCTGTAGTTTACTCAAAAGTTTGCATTGTGGGGGGGGGGGAAGCAAAGGGCACCTAATTTAAGTCCATAAGCTCAATCGACTACAATGTTTACCATATTGTGCCATGCAACTTGCCTAAAAATTAGCGGCTAAGTATGGGGTTTATCACAAAATGCCAGGAGGTCCAGCCTTTTTCTGTTATTTTGCAATCCAACTTTCATCTAGCAAGAACACAAAATACAACAGGCATCTCTGAAACCCAAACTTTCCTGCATAGAGTTCTCCCTAAGAAAGAACCCACTTCACCAAATAAGTGATGAAAAATGAACGGGGCTAAACCTCACTAAGGGACAGGAGTTGTATCCCTTGGGTTTCATATTTTAAAGGTTTCCGCTGAGAATGATCATGCACCTTCAGCTTTAATCTCTGAAAAAAGTAGTTCTTCAGCCATCGTGGCTGCTGAAAAACATACCTGCTCTAAGGCTCACTAAACTGAGCTTAAGGCCTGCTTACCTGTCCAAAAGGTTACACTGCTGTGAGCATTTCTGGTGGGATGTAATTTTTTTAATCAGCAGGGGTGATTAAAAAAGAGAAAGAGAGAGTGTACAATTGTCTCTTCTCCTGCATAAAACCACAGGTAGCCAGAGTAATCAAATGTTCACGCAACGCAAGAAAAGGTCCCGTTCCTCAGGCTCCTGCTGAGTCCCGTGTGGTTTTAGGAACGATCTTATTTAATGTGAACTTTTGCCCAGGCAATAAAATATACAGGGATTGTGCAAGGTGATCATGGGGATTTTATCAATCATAAAGACTGGGCCCAGCTTCCTTTTTCTTTTTGAGTCCATACATCAGCCCCTGCCTTGGCATACAACATTCATCTCTTTTACATCTTTCAAGTTCCTCTCGGCCCCAAATCAGTTAAGACTCACAAGGTCTCCAACCATCTCCTACGTCCTTTGCACCCTCTCCATTCCTTTCATTCCCAATTACTAAAAATTCTTATGGACGTTTATAAGAAAATTAAAAAAAAAAAAAACCCAAAAAACATCGCAGGGGAAACATGTCCTTTTAAGAAGATACCTGAACACAAGTGAAGATTGTCGTGTATCACTGATGAGGTGGAACCTACCCTCTTCCAGGAGCTAGGAGGCTAAGAGGGTGGAGGGATATGATGATTGCACCTTTAAGGCAGCTTTATGTCAGAAGCCGGGATTTTGCGTGAGTGGGTCTGCAAGTGGGAGGCAGCGGAGCCGATAGTGATGCAGGCTCGGTGCACAAGAACCCAAACAAGGATTAAGCAGGTGGATTGTAGGTTTCTTACACAGGGCTAAAAAAAGACCAAGGGGGAAAGGAGCTTGCAATAAAGGAAGAAACCAGAGATACCGAGGAAGACAAGGGGAAGGAGAAAGGATCCTGGCTGAAGCTCTATCACCGCTCTTCTCAAAGCAGACCCACTCCCCGTTGTATTCATCACTGATAACAAATATTTAATTAAGATGCAGGTGGGGGGGGGCAAATCAGCCACAGTACCCAAGAAGGTCCTGCCAATACATTCCTCATTGGGCAGGGTGAGGATAGGTGGCACCAGACAGACTCACCAGCCACAGATGGATAGAGACAACAGTAGCAGCACTGACACAAAGACAGGCATGGAGCTAGGTGTGCGTGCCCTCCCCTCCCCTCCCTCCCCCTTACCCACAGTCAAGGCAGCACCACCACAAGACAGCTGAGATGGATAGGCCTTCCCTTCTTTTCATCCTTCGCCTCAGTTGGGGCAGTGTCAGTCCTTCTTTGGGGGAGAGTGGAGGAGCTCCTTCTCTGCCCCCTGGCCCAGTATGGTTCAGTGCTGCATCGCCCCTGCGTGGTTTTGGTCAGGTAGCTCCAGCTTCTTGGAGTTGTTCTCCTTGGGACCAGCAGCATCGCCCGCTTTGGGCTGTGCCTTCCCATGCTGACCTTTCTTGTGGCCTCGGATGCAATGGGCGTTGCCGCAGCCTTCGTCGTCCTCGTCTTCACTTTCTGTTGAGCTCTCGTCAAAAGCCCGGGGCTTCTCGTAGATGCAGCAGCCTGTGTTGAGAAAAGGGAAGAAGTGGAGAGGAATGGCAAGAAGGGAAGGTAAAAAGGACTCGAAGGCAATACACATTGAGGATGTAAAAAAAAAAAAAAACAGAACAAAGGGAGAATAAAGAGACATGAAAAGATTGTGAACAAGGAGGAAAGCGAGCAATGACATGGCATGGGACGGTGTTTAATAAAATGCAAAATGAGTGAAATATATAAAGTGCAAATATTGGATGCATGAAGATAAGGAATTGAAGGTAGACAATGAAGAAGGAAGGAAGGAAGGAAGGAAGGAAGGAAGGAAGGAAGGAAGGAAGGAAGGAAGGAAGGAAGGAAAACACGAGAGAGATAAGCACAGAAATACAATAATTCACCAGCAATTAGAGCAATGGAAGAGGAGACAAAGGAATAGTCACTTGTTCACAATTTTCACTTTTGGAAAATGAAAGGACTATGCAGACCTTTTCAAACTCACAACATTTCTCTCTATCCCATAGGAATCTATAGGAATCAGATCAGGATAGCCAGAAGCAAATAATTCACTTTTCCAATACATCTGGATGCCAGGATAGAAGAGATATGGCAAGTTCTTAGCCTCTTTATACCCAACCCACCAAGGAAAAGTAAAGACTCTACATGATGTTTGAATTATGTAGCAATTCTTCTTGCTGCTCATTTATTTGGCCAGGGAACCACAGAGAGTAATTAGAAATAGGACAAATAGCATCTCTCCGGTTGATTCAGTTTGTGTTATAGTAATATCTCTATTCTCCTGTGATCATCTCAAGATGCCTTCGCATCAATTTCCAATAAGTACTGCTAAGTACCTATGGTTGAGGCAATTAGTATCCTCTCCAGGCTACAATGTCCTAAGCAACCCGGGGTCCCCCAAGCTTATCATTTCCAATTGAAGTTTAAGATTATATTCTAAATATTATCAAGAAACAACCATGGAACATGTCCATTCTAGCAAGTGGCTCCCCAACAGAGGACCAATGGAGTATGTATGGGCCAGCATACAGGACTCCTCCACCTACTTTTCCAGGAATGTTTCCCCTATTTCCACTACTTTGTCAGTATACTGTGGAGTTTGATCTCATTACCTATGCTTATGTTCTGATATTGTATGCTAGAAGATGACCAGTCTAAAGAAGAGTCAAATGGCGTTTAAGAACACTTGAGAGTAACCCTAAAGCCAACAATCTACATGTACACATCTCCGGAGAAAGGGATGGATTAAAACAACGTAAAAAAAAATGAGTTACCCTCAATTAGTGCATCCTGGATGATGTACTCACATCAGGAGAAATACAAATGAGGAGGAAGTATTTCAAGAAACAACGGTAGAGAAGGGCAATACTCACATTTGGAAGATCTCCGTCCCAAGTGTTCGTTGTCCACTGTGTCACTTGACCATTCCACCTTCTTGGATGGCTTTCGTTTTCTTAATTTGATAGTGAGACTACGATTTTCCTGGGAAGACGACCAAAGAGAAGAGGGTTTGACTGATAGATAATCAAGGAATTTCTCATTCAATGTAAAAGAGCTTGATTTTCAATTCTGGGAAATACTTTCTACATAGCTGTATCTGAGGAAAAACCTCTTTATTTTTGCCATTAAGACAACTCCAGACAGTTCTGAGAGCAACTTCAAAGTTTAATTGCTGCCACTTTTTTGATCAAATCCCACCTATACAACAATATCTTATGCCATTATCTTGCCCATGGAGACAAAACAAAGAAGCCTTTCATTATACATGGAGACAATTACATTTTATATTTTAATAGGTTCTGAGGCAGAAATATGAGCTGTCCATAGATATTGATAGAGAATCCAAGGCTTAATTGAATTCTATACAAGAGCTCTTAGGTTTTATGAAGAGCACTAATAGAAAAACATTTAAACGGGCAGCACTACTGCAACACAATATTATATTATATAATATTAATATTATATCCACTAATAATCACATCAGAGTGTCTAGCCTGTTTCCTCCTAACACAAAGTATCTTAAAATAGAGAAAATTTAAATAGTATACTTGATATGATACACATATTCATCAATAATTTACAAAATCATCCACGATTTTGAAAAAGGGGCCCTCCTATGTTTTTGAGCTTCCTAGAGTCAATGGTACCTTCATAGGCAGCCGTCGACTTACAACCAGAATGGAATCTGCCCATCATGGTTGTTAAGTCGTGACTCAGCTTGGTCACGTGATTCTTATACAGCCAACCTGATTGCCCTGGTCATTAAGCAAACCAATGGTTCGCTATGGCACAGTTTTGCCAAAAAAAAAAAAAAAAAAAAGAGGCAGTGCTGGTTTTCAGCGAAACCATTGTCACGTGACTGCGGGACACTGCAAATGACCATAAATAAGCCCAAAGTAGGTCTGTAGTAACTTTATTCAATAAATGACCGGTTGTAAGTCAAGGACCTTCTGCAATGGAAACAATATTGTAGGTGGCCTAGTTGATCATGAGCCAAATTCTCTCAGCCCGTTGTAATATTCAAGGTAGAAGTAAAATTCAAATAAATGTCTGTGAAGACAGTTGATAATTGTAAAAAAAAAATACAATAGGTGCATCCCAAAAATAATTTAGATTGCACTAGCAACACTACTACAAGTCTAGCTTCTGATCAATATGTCTATTCACACGCCCTTTTTGGAGATTTGGTTCATAAGGAGTTCAGCTGAATCTCTGGATTAAGTTTATAATGGAATTTGTTTCTATGAACAAGACTTTGTTCAAACTGTTCTCTGAATCAGAGACCTTCAAATCAATCCAATTAATTTTCAATGCCTTTAGCATAGATGCTGTCTTGGCTTTTGAAGCATTCAAAACAGCCTTCCATCTTGGTAAGATAAGGACCCAGATGGTTGGGGGGGGGGGCGAAATGCTGACACTGTAAACCCTTTGAGGGCTATAAAGAACTGAAGCGATATATAAGTCTAAGTGCTATTGCTATTTCTCAACTTTGGTAACTTTTAAGACCTGTGGACTTCATCTCCCAGAATTCCTGTCTTCACTTGGGTCCAATTATCACTGATGTGATAAAATGCCAAATTTCAGGCGATTGTATTCTGAGAGAGAAGTCTCTTATTTCCAAATCTACTCCATTATGCGACCCAATTAAAAGGTTCCAACTGGGTCGGGTTCAGTTCACACGTGGGCCTGTATTGCTCAGGTCTTGATTCCCACTGCAGCAAGATGTTATGGCAGCCTCCGCTTCCTCCCACTCTGGACGACTTCTGTCCTCCAGATGTTCTTCCGTCTCGGAGAGAAGACCTTCCGCTCAGCGAACCAGTACCTGACAAAAGACCTGCCCTCCGCTACTTAGAGCCATTAGCCACCCAGTTATCGCAACCCTCCCCTTCCATCCCAGGCCAGCTCGCGCCGCCGCCGCGCGGCCCTTCTCGCCATCGCCGAAGTCCCCCGCTTCGTGGTTGCCACGACAACCGCAGGCGCCGAGGTTCCGCGGGCGGGGCTTCTCCCTCTCCGTCGTCATCATGGTTGCCATGCCGCCGGCTGCACCCCCCCCCGCCCGCCCACCCACCCCCCGGCCCTCTCCTCACCGGCTCAGTCACCTCCGTCTCGGTGACGGTCGTGGTCGCTCGCACTTTAGAAGTGGACTCGGCCATGCTGCGGCGATGCGGGAGCCCGTCTGCGATGGAGCTGCTTGCGGGAGGGAAGAATATCCGTGGAGCCCCGCTCAAGGGCTCGACGGAGCCCTCCCCAGCCTCAGCTCACCTGCCGGCGCCTGTTCAGCCGCAGCGCCCAGCCTCACGCTGCAGTCGCCGTCTCTACCTCACAAGCAGGAGCAGCGGTCGATTTCCAACCCCACTTCCCATTTCCGGTGCCATGTGCGCTGCCTTAAATGATCCCCGTGGAGATTTCAGACTCACTTCCGGTGTGCCCCAAACTAAAGCGAGCCGTCTAAGCGCGTTAGAGACCGCGGCGTGGGGGGAGGCTTTCTTCTGCTCTTGTGATGGTGGGGCTTGGTTCTGAAGTGATGACTATCACCGGCGTAGAATAATCCTAGTTTTGGACGCGATGAAAAGACGGACTTTTGTTTACGGCAGCCCCGGAGAAAGACCATGGAAACTCGATTGTAAAAAAATCGATTTTTGTAATAGAAATGTTAAAGTCTGGAATATCTTACCCGATTCAGCTGTCGCAGCTCTTAACTTTCACAGCTTTCATTCTAACTTAACTCCCGTGGACTTCATATTTTAAGAAGTCCCTAAGGGGACGCGCGTTAAGTGCATTGGCGTGCCTAGGGTCCCTGTCAAGAGTTTGATTTTCTTATTGTCTTTGTTTGAATTTGTTATTTTTGTTTGATTAATAAATAAATTAAAACAGCCGACTTCTATTAGGGGGCGTTGTCAGGAATTTGATGTTGATGATAAAGAATCTTGTAGCCTTTTAAATGTCTGTTCCAGCCTTAGAAATGCTGACTCACCATGTTCTACTTCATGTTTATTAAAAAGGATTAAAATGTTAAAGAAGACTTCACAATAAAACAGACTATTATATATATATAATTCTAGCTTAAACTAAAAGTATCAAAGAACTTTGATTTCAGCTGACATAATTGGAACAAAAATGCAAGGTGAATTAATTTCATCGTCAGTTTATGCAAACAAAAGCTGCCCCTCCCCCAACACTGGCTTTTGAAGGATTGCTGTCTATAAAGATGCTTTAGGATTAAGATGCTAGCCTCTGATCAGATCTACTTTGCATCAGAGTAAATTTTCAAATGGTCCAGTAAGGAACACCTCTTTCTAGGGACAAGCTCTGCACACAGCATCAGGAATCTCTGTTGCCTAGAATGGTACAAAGCAAACCATGGATTTCAAAATGCAGGCAATCCTTGATAGAAGCTCTTTTTCTCTCTGTAACTTGGCTGTGTGGAGTATCACCAGATATTTATATAACATTTATACCCAGTGCTTTTTTTGTAAAAAAAAAAAAAAAAAGTGCCAGAACTTACACACATTATACAACCCGCCTTGCCTACCCTACAAGGTTCCATCCAAAAAAGGTGCCAGAACTCTGTTCTGGGTGTTCTATGACCAAAAAAAAGCCCTGTTTATACCTATCCTGGAATATTGACAACCTGTTAGATCTGTATTTGAGATGATTTCCAACTACGCCCCAGCTAACTAGTCCAAGCTTTAAACAAGCAGAATTATAATGGCTTTTTCAAGATTCTATTAGGAAACTGCTTTATCAGTTTGGTAAATATAGTCCAGATATTTGGAAGAAGTCAGTGACAGCAACTGCGCTGCATGAGTTGAGCCAAAAAGATGGTGCCCACCTCTCCAAATTATGCAACACCATCAAAGAGCATGCTTCTGTCCTCCCTCCCAATTAGAGAAGTGTGATATAAGCTCACACCTTGGAGAGGAATTGGAATTAAAATAACCCAATGACTTTTCAATACACAAGCCAATTCCCAATATTCTGTTTTATATTGAATGCTATCAAGAAAATCAAATTTTGGAAACCCAAGGGGAAAGATTGATAGAAAAGAGCACTGAGGTACTAAGGACCCACAATGATTTAAGAGGGCTGTGTATCAGTGTACTGGTATCCAGCTGGAATGGACTTTAGTAACCCTTTTGAAATCTTCAAGATGCTTTGATGCTATGTTAGCTACTGACCAATAGGAGTCACTATGTAACAGGTTTGGTTGTTACTAGGATTAACTGTTTAACAGAATTTGAACCTACAGAAAACTTTCTAATATGAAGGCATATACGAAAAGGAAGGCATAATTATATGGCTTTTATAAGTCTACCTTTTCTGCAGGCTGCTGGCAGCCAGGCCAAGATAATTTAAAAGTTAATTGTGCAGTAATACAGTAGTCAACAAGTGAATGGCCCATATAAGTTCAAATCCTATTAAAAGATTGGACACCGAATATCTAGTATGGAGGATGCAGAATTGCCTGGAAAGTCCCAATAAAGGCAAAAGTGATTGAATAGTGTCTCCTATTCATCTATAGTTAGTACAATATCTAAAAACTACACAAGCAGTCCCATCTCCTTTAAGGGGAGGCGGTTTTGAGATTCATATTAACAAAAATCAGAACATTTACATAGCTTCTTCATGATGTCTGATGAAAGACTACACATTATTTATTCCTATCATGCTCATTTAGTTGCTACTAAAGTCTCACATCAATTTCTTAAAGAGCCACAAAGCAGAAGAATTAGATCATTTTGCAAAATATAGGATTATAATGAGGTCATACAATTGCATTGCTAAGCAACCATCCCACAAAGAATCCTCTTAATTCCATTTTGAAACAGAATTCAGACCTGCATGACGAAAGCCATAACATATCCAAAAGAAAGTGGAAGATCAATCTTGTCCCTTGTCCTGTGAAAAACTCAGAAGCTTATAGAAGCAGGAGGAACCAGTAAAATTCAATAAAAACATGAATTTATAGGGAAATAAATACACATAACAGCAGCAATAAAGAGACGCTTGCAACTCAACCCATGTTATGAATACTGTGCTTTCACTGATCAAAAGGTAAAGGAGATTTGAAATTCTGGAAGGCCATTTGTTAGGTCCTGTTTTTGCTGTTTCCATTTTCATTTGAACTGTGCAACCAGTCACCATCTGTCAATCATCCAATTTAAACGAGATGCTTCTAAAGCATCTAAGAACGGTACAGTCTATTCATAAAAATCCAAAAATGATTCTCTGTCACGAGTGGAGTTTTAAGTACTGTCTCCCATGTATTCTGGCAAACACGATTAAGAATCTTCTTTCTCCTGAAACCTAGAATTTAAAGAACAGCATAAATACTCTGAGATGTATTATAGTTCCTTGCAACTGCTGACAATGGATTAAAAACATATGCTGGATTAATTAATGTAATCATTTTACACACATCAATTAATATTATAACATCTGTACAACTCTCCCACTTGTCTTATACATAATTTAAATAGTCTGACAAGGTAGATTATTTCAGAACTTCAAAAGCAGAATAGGCAAGAGAATGAAGACTCATCTGAGACCTATTCTGCAGAAAAATCTGGAGCCACCATCAAATGGTATCTCCAATACTTTTCTTTGAAAAGAACTCAGATGAGTACTGGAGATTGAACAAGAGTGTTAGTTATGATCGGTCGCTGTATGGTGATCTTGCAATCTGGGTGCTTGATGCTCAGCTCAAATTATGAAGTCACAGCATCCCATGGTCATGGGATCATCATTTGCAACCTTTTTTGCTGGCTTCCTACAAGCACAGTCAACGGAGCAGCCAGCAGGAAGTTGCAAATGGCAACCTCTTGAAGCCCTTTCTATACAACCTTCAGTGATTCACTTAATGACAGCAATCAGGAGCACTGGAATTTCCATCATTAAGAGTTCATGGTGACTTGACATTGTACTTTACGGCTGCTTTACTATCATAAAGTGAGGACTACGTGTGTTAAAATGAATGGTAAATTAAGTCTTTAAAGTTCCTCCTGGAACTCAGATATATTTCCATCACGGAGTATCATCAGGTGTGAGTCTCCCAAAGAGACTCCTTTAGAACCACATTCACAGCTTCTACTGGTATATTTATAAATATATAAATCCTAAATAGTTTATGGCCTCAAGGGCTAATCCTAACATTTAATGTTGAGTCTTGTAACAAGCAAACAATATAGCTGGAACAAAACAAATGTGACTTAATTTAAAACATCTAGTCATCATAAGCAAGTCAAGGGAGCTCTTACTTGCATTGGATGCAGGTGTAGAAAACCGTCTGCCCTTCATCTGCAGATCTCATCTGCTGAGTATGGTAGGCCATGCCCTCATGCCCACACCGAGGACATTTTCTGTCAATCTGAAAAGGTTGAAAATGAACAAAATGAGAGTTCGGTAAACCTTTTGACGCTGGTATGGCAGAATCCCTAAGGTGCAACTGAGAAACTGAGGCAATAAATACAGGCTGCAGAGTCTTTCAAGGTGCCCTTATACAAGCTTGTATCTCGTGTAACCCCCTACACACCATTTTTAAAAATCTAAGAATGGACTTGGTCTTTCCTCAAGGGTAAACATGAACCCGCTGCAAAGGAATTCATTTCTGTTCTCATGTTCATTTTCCTTCTCTGCAGCTGTTCCAGATTGATTATTTCTTAAATTGTTTCCAGAAAATATAATACAGTCAAAGCCTATTTTAAATGTTTGATGGGGCACAGTGGGGTCTGTTATTTCCCATGTCAGCACAGGGTGACCCAGACAGCATCTGCAAGGGTGGCATAATTATGCAAATAAAGCAAACAGTCACAAATTATGTAACTGTCATCATTTGCATATTGGCACCATCATGCCTATAATGCCTAATGGAACCAATAACTAGTCTTCTCATTCACTCACCAGTGGACCCTTAACTTCTTTTCCTTCCTCTGCACTCAAAGAAGAGGAATCTATTTTGTTGAATGTGACAGATGTATGGATGACTCTCTTTTCAAACTCTATGCAAAGAAGAAAATGTATGAAGAATGATTAAAGTGCTCCTTAATTCAAGCTTGTCAATTTCTTTTTTATTTTATTTTTGTGCTTTTAAGTCAATGTTGATTCCTGGCAATGGCCTAGGTCAGGAGTCTTCAAACTTGACCCTTTTATGACTTGTGGACCAACTCCCAGAATTCCTCAGCCAGACATGCTGGCTGAGGAATTCTGGGAGTTGAAGTCCTGGCTGAGGAATTCTGGGAGTTGAAGTCCACAAGTCATAAAAGGGCCAAGTTTGAAGATCCCTGGCCTAAACAAATCTCTGTAATATTACTGGCAAGATTTCAGAAGTGTGTTGCCTTTGTCTTCTTCTTTCTAGAGCTGAGAAAAAGGGACTGGACCAAGGTCAGCAAGCTGGCATCATACCTAAAGGTAGGACTAGAACTCACAGTCTCCCAATTTCTAACCTGGTACCTTAACCTCTATACCAAACTGGTTTTATATTTCATCTAATGTTCCTTATATTCTCACAATTTGGAGTGGAACACATGATCACTAAAGCTGTGTTATTTCCAACAGAAAAAAATCTAGCGTGTCAGGAAGAGGATTAAATTACAACTTTTTCCTGACAACTACTTTTCTAAATCAAGGGTACTACTTTTTGTATCATTTTTTTTTGTTTTCAAAGATTGTGTTTTTTATGAAATGATATAGTCTAGTTATGAGTGATACACTGTAATCTCTTCTGCTGTTTTGAAAAACTAAGCACATTAAGGACTCAGAATAAACACCCTCTTTCCATATTTAAACGTGAAATGCATAATTTCCAATTTAAATGGATGTTCATTACAGTAATAGACACCCCACCCGCTAATGGTGCATTAAACTGAGACTTCATTCATTGCTTCAAGTGCAGAAATAAATGGTGGAAGTATTAAATGAATGAACTCAGATGGGAAAGATAGAAAATTACCAATTTCTTTTAATAAAAGAACACTGAAAAGTATGCTTGGAATTTGTTATCTATGAATTTGAATACTCCTGGAAAAATATACACCTACAAAACACAACTTACCTCGCACATCAATGTTGAAAGAGCAACAGGGACATATCACCTTATCCTGGATACCTGGCAGGGGCAGGACAGTACCACACTCCGGACAAAAATCAAGTTCTGACTCAAAGTAGGAACCTCCTTGTTCCATAATTAGAAAATAAACAGAGGCTGTATGGGAAAGAATACATACACTTCATCATAAAAATCAAAAAGTGATCCCAGAATAATTACTCATACCCTATCTTAAGAATACACACTTTTGAGGGCCACTTGAGATGTCTGATCTTCTTTTGCTGGTTGGCAAGCTGATGTTTTTTCATCTTATATGGAAAGGCCACTTCCCCTAATCAATCATTCATTATCTCAAATGTTATCAGCTCTAATATTAAAATTATTAATTTTGGGTCTGGTACTTTGTCAAATAAATAGGGACAGATCTCTTTCCATATAACTTTAAACCCAGAAAGAGGGGAGAAAAAACCTGGAGTAAATAGTGGAAGAATTAGTGTATGCAGCTATATTTATATACAATGCAAATGTATGAAATGAAAATATAAATAATCTTCCCAAGCTCTGTTTAGTTAATACGAACTAGTGATACTGTACTGTATATTTCGATATATAATTTAATGCAGAAACAAATATAAATGTTCCTAAATAATAGATCACCATTGGCCATAATGACCAGGGCTGATATAAGCTGAAATTCAACCACAATTCCAGAGCCATACATTTCCCTCTCTACTCCCTATACTGAACTTGCCCAAATGCTGCTTAACTCGTCCCCAGAAAAATAAAAACGCTGTAGAATCTAGCTCGCCTCTTGATGAAGTTTCTTATCAATGTGACTAAATGGGTTTGTCTTGGTATGTCGCAATCCCACTAAAAAGAAGATGGTCTACTTCTGCAGAAGAGTAATTGTATCTACTTCGATTTTCTCCGGTCTGGAAGCTCTTCAGTGTGCTAGATTGACGATCTGCCTCATTCTAGACCAGGGGTAGTCAACCTTGGCTCTTTTATGACTCGTGGACTTCAACTGCCAGAATTCTGGCTCAGGAATTCTGGGAGTTGAAGTCCACGAGTCATAAAAGAGCCAAAGTTGCCTACCCCTGGTCTAGACAGCTGAGAATAATGAGGGTTGGAATCGAATTTCCTACAAATCGGGAGTAAAGAGACGCTTGAAGAAATGTTGCGCCTGAGTTTTTGAGAAGAACAGGATTTCTGTGAATGCCTCTCACTAAGGTCGCTTTGAGCTGAGAAAACCATGCAATTTCTCCCAATCTTAAGTATTCCCCATCCCGGTGTAATGTAACAGTTTAGTGGAGGAGCTCGTGACTGCACCTTAAAGTCCAAACGCTCGAATCATAACCATAATCGATATATTCGACATAATCGATAATAAAAACCATAACAATACCGTTGCCCTCCGTCCATTTACCAGCTGTCGTCAGCTTCTAAACGTAACTCCACATGGAAAGAATGCTCAATTGGTTTCCCGGAGAGACAAGCTCGAGAGCGCAGAGCGGCCACTCTTCAAGAGCAGTAGAAAAAAAGAATAAGCGCTAGACAGTCCATACAACAATCCTCTTCCTCTCGTAGTGAATTTTCTAGCCCAATTTTTTTTCTGGTCGGGGCTGCATTCATGTATAATAAGACTGCAAGGTTTGTTTCCAACCAATTATCTGAAAACGCTTGCCCAAAAACCCATGCAGGGACTTGCCCAAGCAGTCTCCGAGAACCAGATACGATTGAACGGGGCAAAAAAAAAAAATGGAGATAAAGGATCAGATTGGAGTCCATAATGCAGAGAGTACCCTATCCTACATTTTTCACAGTTGTATTGCGCACCATTTATTGTAAAGAGAATTTATACTGTGAAACTTTCCAAAAGTTGTTATTGGTCAGAAAATATGCACAATGGCATAATTCGAGATTCGGGAAAGCAACCTTTGCATCTTTTTCAAAAATATCTTCAGAACTGAAGATCCCCGTAGAAAGGAACAGAACAATATAATGCAGATTTAATGGATATTTATTTATATTTCGTATTTTTTAACCACCTATCTTCCCCAGAGATCCATGCAAATTCCACGCAAAATTCAAAATATTGTGGGAATTACATTAATTCTGAGTATGTCTACTACAAATAATACATTAAAGAGCCCCTTTATCAATATCCAAAGGCTAGTTACGTGTATTCTTTCTGTTGCTGTTTGGATTTAATTTTTTAAAAACGTAAAAGAAGAGTATGGATCTGAAAAAGTGAAATGAAAACATCCCCACAGCTGTTTGAAAAACACTACCGTACTTGAGTTGCAGATGTGTTCTAACACACTTCTTCCAAAGGACTGCACAACCTTGTTTTATTTATTTTCATGCATAAACACATACGTATTTTTACATATCTCATCTTTTTACTAATCAAACATTGTTTTTTTATTGGTTTTTTAAAATTCATAAAAAGTACTCAAGACCCACCGTGGTGGTTGGGTGGTCCAACATTCAAAGGTAAAAACATATATAAACAAGTCAACTCAATACATTTCACTATCCCCTCTCTATTTCCCTCGATTAACATGATACATTTAAATATTCCATTTCTATTTTAAATTTCTATTATTACTAAACCTGTTTTATAACTTTTATCAGTTTACTACCATAGTCTTAAGTTTAAAACAACAAATTATCAATTCTAATTCTTAATTTCTCACATTCCTCATTTTATCACCAATCTCAATTATTTCTTCTTCCACTACACAATAGTTATCCTAATAACAATAAAATATTAATCAGCCATATACATATGTAATTCCAGAATCAATCCATCTCTTTAAAATAACAAAATAATATTAAACCTTAATTCATTCAGATTCATCAAACAAAATTCAAATTTACTCCAATTACTTATCATGCCTTATCACATCTTTGTTGTCATACAGAAAAGTCATCCTAGTAATTTAAAACACTCCATTAATTATTGGCAGCATCCAATCTAAACAGTCATCAATTTTTCAATTCCAATACATAATGATTTTCATTTTATTCCCAAATGTTACATAAATACACAAATTCTGTGCATTCTTAATCTGTTTAAAATATCTATTCTAATAATCATGCATATATATATATATATATATATATATATATATATATATATATACACATATATATTCTTGCTCTAACTCTAAATCTTAGTCCTTAAAACAGTCCATAAATCCAGCATTGCCTTTTAATCCATTACACAATTTTAAATTTCTCTTTTCAGTCTAATTCTGGGTTTTTTCCTGGGCCAAGCAGGTTTCCATAAACAAGCTTCCCTTTCAGTCAATAGGTCTATTTTTGTTGCTTGTCTTTGAAGAAGTAGGAGTCCCAACCTCTGCATCAAACGTCTGTTTCTCTCTTCCTTAAAGTATTGTTGCTTTATAGTTTCATATCTCAATCTTTGCTTCTTCTGTTGCTCAAAGTTACAAATGAGAGATTTGTAAGGTAGGATGAGTTCCTCTTTTATCTCTGTTAATTCCTCTTCTAGTATATCTTGGTTTGTAAAATAGTCAGATGTAATTGAGAATCCGTTTGAGTGTTTGAAGTGAAATTTCTGGATCTTAGTTCTGTAATAGGTTCTTTCAATATGGCACAAATTTCTGCAGTGGCCTCATGTATCTTTTCCAGTATAAGATTGTAGTTTAATTGTGAATGCGGTTTCTCCATTTTAATAGTGGTTAGAAAGAATCACTTTTTTTTGTGGAAGCTGTATTTGATGAAAATTAGTCTATATCCACCCCCACAATTCCCACAGCTCAGTTTGTCTTTTTTCAGAAATAATTTGAAAGTCAAATCTGATCTGGTTTCAAAAAGTAACCAGAAAGTGCAATATTAAATTTTCGCCAATAGATGTCCTCAGTAAGTTAAGAAAGAGTCTTTTCCAGGCACCATTTCCTTATTTCTATCTTTAAAAGTATAGTGTGAAAGAAGAAATAATCTTCCAACACCAGGTGATAATACAGTTCTTAGAAAAAAAAAGAGAGAGAGTTTTCTGTATCCCAAAAGATATGAAAGTAAAATTTAATCTTGTAAAATGCCTTCCTTCCCCAAAACATAAAAGCTGCTTTCTTTAGCCAGGGAAATAATTCCATCAAGGCTCTTACAGGTAAAAAAAACAAAGTCAAATAGAGAGAGTAACAAGGAAAATTTTCACCCGGGTTCACCATGGGGGCTCTTACAGCTTAGATGTTCTTGACTTGCAGTTTGAAGCAGCAGGGTGATCGGCCATTTTACTGGCCGATCTTCTTCTCCGTCAGCCCTCAGAGATCGCCCAGACAGCCTCCTCAGCTGAGCCAAAGCCTTCTCGATGGAAGTCGCACCCTCCAGGGCAGCTTTCGACCCAACTGGCAGAGGGAAAGCTAGCCGACAAAGAGACAAGTCTGCTCGTATGACTAGGAATGCCGCGAACCGGAACCGGAAGTGTTCTAATACACTTCTTCGAAAGGACTGTACAACCCTGTTTTATTTATTTTCATGCATAAACACATAGGTATTTTTACTTATATCTCATCTTTTTACTAATCAAACATTGTTAAAGGTAGGATTTATTAAACCAGGTGCCTTTCCAGCAATCACCTGTCTATTTCATTCTTTTTCAGCATTCAGTTTAAAGCACTACCAGCAGCTACAGTATCAATCACTGAGTTCATTATCTTGGAGAGGATATTCCACATGAGGAAGTTCTGTCTCCAGCACACACTGACTACATATTTAATGCAAAGGATCAAAGAAATAGCTAAGGAGTTGAATGGACCTACGCAGAAATTTGGCTCTTGATATATTCTAGTTCAGCTCCCATGCTGTTTATAGAGTTTTAAAGATCAAAAGTAGCAAATTAGTTAAAATAGGTAACCATTTATGTGTACACATTATAGGCCAGGGGTGTCAAACTGCCGGCTCGCAGGCCGAATGCATCATGGCGAAACCGCGCCCACCCCATTGCTGGCAATGGGGAAAAAAGACATGTCACGTGATATGGTGAGTTTGACATCCTTGCTATAGACCATTAGAATACATATTTGTGGAAATACAGATTAACTAAGATCTGGGATGAGTAAATTACCTATTTTTAAACTCTTGAAATGCTTTTAAATTAAATACCATTTAAATACTATAGTTAAATGTCATTTTTCCCAACACTGTATAATTTGTTGGATTATTCCAAAGGTGATATACATGAGCAATAAAAATAAAGAACACTGTCCCTGCAATTATAAACATCATCATCATTGTAATTATCATGAATCATGTTGTTTTTCTGAAAGAAATGGCAGCTACTAGCTTTATTTTTTCATCATTAGTCTTTGCAGCATGTTTGGAGTAACAAAGAATGAGCATTTGTTAAAAGTATTGGTTTTGGTCTGTTGAATAAAGTTGATAAATGACCTTCATTAGACATTGACATTCCTTATTGATATTCTTTATTATTGATCTTCATTATTCTTCGGATGGCTTTATGTACCTCTTTGTTTCTCAAAGTGTAGATCAGTGGATTAAGCATGGTGGTGACAAAGGTATAGAAGAGGGAAATCATCTTGCCTTCATCACCGGAGTACTTGGATGGAGGTCGGAGATAACTACAAATAGCTGAGCCATAGAAGAGTGACACCACCATCAAGTGGGAGACACAGGTATTGAAGGCCTTCCGCTTTCCTTCAGCTGAGTGGATCCTCAATATAGCAGCCACAATGTAGCTGTAAGAGATTATGATCAGACCCAGAGGTGGTAGAAGGAACATCAGACTTGAGGCAAAGAGCTCTGCCTCATAAACAGAGGTGTCCACACAGGCCAATTTGATCAAGGCTGGTACCTCACAGAAAAAGTGATCTATCTGGTTCTGCCCACAACGTGGAAGACTAAAGGTCATGAGTGTCTGTACTACTGAATTGCTGAAGCCACTTCCCCATGAGATAGCAGCCATTGTGAAACACAGAGAATGGCTCATAATGGTAGTATAACGCAGTGGATGACAGATGGCAGCATAGCGGTCATAGGCCATGACAGCCAACAAAACACACTCCGTGGAGCCCAGAGCAAGAGAGATGAATAACTCACCCACGCAGGCACCATAAGTGATAGTCTTGCTTTTTCTCCAGAAGTTCACCAGCATATGGGGCCCAAGACTGGTGGTACAAGAGAGATCAAGGAAGGAAAGGTTGTTGAGGAAGAAATACATGGGGGTGTGGAGATGGGGATCTAATCTTGATACCACAATGATGGTTGTGTTGCCCAACAGCGTCATCAAATAGCAAGTTAGGATAAGAACAAAGAGCAACATCTCCAAGTGTGGCCGGTCAGTCACTCCCAGTAAGATGAATTCTCCTTGGTAGCTTTGGTTTCCTTTCTCCCATGATGAGTCTCTGGACATCCTCTAAAAAAAAATTCAGGGAAATAAAAAGAACAGCAGAAGAAATGGAAATAGATTATGGATGCTGATTTGAATGAAAGTAATTTAAATGAAATATTAAGGTTTATTGAGGATCACCCAATGATTTGCACATTTGGATTGAGTTCTGACTTTGGCTCTGATTAATCCAGGAATATTTTTGATGTTGCCTTCCATCAAAAAATATTCCTGGACTTTCAGTAGTTCTAGCAAACCCCCCCCCTCCCATTTTTTTAGTTCTTATTCAGAGCTGATCTTGCTTGCCCGATCATTACTCCAGACCCTTATAGTTTCAGGAGGGCAGAAGTACAAGTCCTCATTCCACACTAAAGCTGTTAAAATGACTTTTGCTAAAAAAAATTTTTTTGTTCCACATTAATAGTAGTATTTAATTCTGCTGTTGCAACCAGGGCAGTTCAATCATTTGTTGTGCTTATTGTCTTACACAAATATCTCTACCAATAAAGAGAATCTTTGTAGCTGAGGTTGAACTGTGGAGTCCTTTTTGTTCTCTGAGCTCAGTTGTTTTCTTGCCGATGTTTCATTACTCAACTAGAAACATCTTTCATTACTTAGTTGGGTAATGAACTTTCTGCAAGAAAACAACCAAGCTCAGAGAGCACCAAGGACTCCACAAATATCTCTGTTACAATTAGACAGGGGCATCCTCAGTTGGATTTTGCTCTTTGCCATTGGCCTCCATTTTATATAACATTGCTGGGTGGGCCTCTGATGAAAGAATTGGTGCGGTGGGATCAGCAATGTAGTAGAATGTTGAAATGCTGACTGTTGCTTTTTCCCCTTTAACTGAATGAAATTGACAAGAGTTCTGTTTCCATTTCTAGCCCCAGTGATCAAAAGAGTGGAATCCTCAAAAGACATTCCCCCCTGCTCCCCATAGAGAAAGAAGTTGGTCTTGACTTCTGGGGAAACGAGCAATTGAAGGCTATGCATCATTATGGCTGAAACTGAGGAAGAGCTGAAATTCAGAAAAGCATTTCTTAAAACGGTTCAATCTCCAGCTAGTTTACTCACAAGGGACAAGCAGCTGAAGGCTGCTGTGGAGAAAAGTCTTCTGATGGCTGGGAATTCACTTCCAAAATTTCTCACAATGAGAAGAAAATGTTGTTCTTCCACTTCTTTAATGGAGGTAGCCAAAGAGCATAGATGAATAAATTGCCCTTTATTGTACAATTATCTCCCCAGTCCTCTCTGATCATCAGAACAAATCCATAGAAAGTTATCAAGGTGAAGTTCTTTCTACTCCACCTTTTCCAGATTGAGAATAGTCAGCAGCCAGGGAAGCTTCAGAAAGATGGAAAAATGTGTAACAGAAAGCAACAACCCCCTTCAATGCCACAACCAGGACAGAAAGCTCAAAAATAGCAAGAGAAATTTGAGAGAAACTGTCAACTACCCTGAAAGTAATATAGAAACACATCTGGGAAGGCAGAGCTTGAAATAATGCAAATCAGATGTTGACATCATAATCTGTACGATCTTAAAAGTGCTCTTAAGGAGCTTCCGGTGGGAGGCGACGGCGATGGCGGCTAGCTTTTAGCCGTCCAGCTGGGGAAGTGTCAGAGCCGCGGAGCGCAGCGCGCATCAGCTGGCCCGCGGCTCGGAAATCCCTTCCCGGGCAAAGGGAAGGGATAGAGAACGCAAGAGTAGAGGTAGAACCCCTGAACCCCCTCTGGATTTATTTCTAGAGGGGGTGAAAGGAGTGTTCCCTCGGAGCTCTTGCTGATCTCCGCCTCCCAGCTGTTTTTGCTTCCTAGGAAGCAAAAGAAACCGCCGCTTCTATCTCCGTGTTTACAGCATTTTGGTGAGTAATTTTTAAACGGACGGAGCAGTTTAAAGGATTTTTTGTTATATTTTAGGTGTTTATTTTTTTTATCTTTTGATTTTTACTATTTTTCCTCCTTTTCTTTGTTATACTAGTGAAAGGACTTAAGATGGCGTTTTGAAAGTGTCGGAGTTTTTTTTTCCTTTCTCTTTTGTTTTACTTTCCCTTTTTAAGGACTGTTTTTTGCTTTTGCTTTTGCTTTTGGCTTAGAATTTTTTCTTTTGAATTGTTTGCTCTTTTACTACTTATTTTTGGGATTTATTCTGGACTTTTAATGATTATAGTTTGTCTCTTTTTAAAAATTCTTTTTTTCTTTTTTTCCTCCTCCCTTTTTGGCTGGAGGGGAAAGGGAAGTGACAATTGTGCTTTTTAAAATGGCTTCAAAGAGGCAGCAGCCTTCCTAATACCCAAGGTTATTTCTTCTCCTATAACTTCCACTGCACAGCTACAACAACAATCTAAACATGCACCACCGGCTCAGCCACCACCCTCCCCTCCTCTACCTGGACTTTCAGTACAAGAGGTTAGAGGCATAATGGGAGAGATTGTAGTTCAAATGAGAGAGGAAATGACTCAATTTGTTTCACAGATTAAATCAGAAATTAAATCTGATCTCAAAGAAGAGATAACGGGGATAAAGTCTAAATTGCAAGAAAATAATAATGAATTACGACAAGATATACTGGCAGCTGTTTCAGGTTTGGCTACTGTGGTGGTTAAGCTCGATGCAAGGCTTGAGGAAGTGGAAGACAAAGTTGACTCTTTAGATGACAAAATTCAAGACGTGGAAAGGAAGGTGGACTCCTCACAAGAAGATATTTTGATGTTTCAGTACAGACAGATGGAGTATGCTCTGAGGATTAGAGGCCTCAAGGAAGATATGAATCAAGATTTGATGGAGGTGGTTCTTAGTGATCTGGCGCTGGCTTTGGATATGGATAAAGGAGAATTACAGAGAGAAGTAGAAAAAATTTATAGACTCAACTCCTGGATTGCTAAGCAGAAGAATTTGCCCAGAGATGTGGTGATTTACTTTACAAAGAAGTCCCTGCGGAATGAGATTATACAAGCTTTTTACAACAAAAGATTTCAGATTGCCGCCCAAGATGTCATCATTCTAAAGGAAATCCCATCTAAAATTTTAAGAAGTAGGAAAGACTTTGCTTTTTTAACCAATGAGCTTAAAGCTAGATCGATGCCATTCAGATGGGAAATTCCGATGGGTATCGTTTTGAGCCATGCTGGGACACGTTACAGATTGAACACAGTTGACAAAGCTAGAGATTTCTATACTTCGGTCCTGAGTGCAGGCTCAACTTCATCTGGTCGGAAATCTTTGAGTGCTAAGGAACCTGAGCAGCAATCTGAGGCACTAGATTTGGTTTCCGCAGGGATGATAGAAGTGGCAAAGCAACGCCAAACGGAGGCTAAAGAGCAGAGGATGACTCGTGCAGCCTATAAGCGTAAAGAGAAAGAGCAACGTAAAAAAGAGCCCAAAGAGAATTCTCCTGGAAGTGCATCACCGCCGGTGGGAGGAGCAAGACCCAAGAGTTATGCAACACACGCAGCTCTGTCAGAGTTTGATGGTGTCTTCTCCAGGCTGCGTGCCAAGGGAGATGGCAAAGTTTTTGACCTGGAATGTTAATGGATTGAATTCTCCTCAGAAACGGAAAAAAATCTTTTATTATTTGAAGCAACATACCAATGATGTTATTTGTTTACAGGAAACTCATATTCTACTTAAAGATCAGAAATATTTAGTTAATGCTCGTTTGGGATCTCATTTTATATCTCCTGCACCTGGGAAGAAAGGGGGAGTTGTTATATATGTCAAACAAAACCTGCCAGCTTGTCTGGTAGAATCAGATCCCCAGGGGAGATATGTGATGATTGAACTTGGTATTTATGGTAAGAAAGTACTTATAGTTGGACTTTATGCTCCAAATCAACAACAGGAACAATTTTATAAACAGTTACACCAAAAAATAACTTTGCTTGATTATAGATCAGTGGTATTAATGGGTGATTGGAATGGTGTCTTAGACACACAAAGGGATAAGAAAGGTTCCTCTCCTTTTCTTAAACAAGCAAGGCTACCTAAAGCCTTTTTTGATATGAAAGAAGACTGGGAATTAAGGGACTATTGGCGGGAACGTAATCAAGAGGAGAGAGACTTTACTTTTTTTTCTGACAGACACCAATCTTTTTCAAGAATTGACTTTTTCTTGATTACCACGGATTTGTATAATAAAGTAAAGAATGTAAAGATTTTTCCTAGATCACTGACGGATCATAGTCCAGTTTGGATGGAGTTGATTCAAGAGAAAGAGGAAAGAAGATCCTGGAGAGTTAATGAAAATTTGTTTAGACAAGAGAAGAATGTTCAAAAACTAAAGGAGTGTTTAAAGGACTATTTTGCTTTGAATATGTACAAGGGGACTTCAATGTCAATGGTATGGGATGCAGGTAAAGCATTTATGCGCGGTGTTTTGATAAAAATGAATAATTTTTATAAGCGAAATCAGATTCAGAAACGTAGAGAACTTGAAGATGAAATTAAACTAAAAGAAAGGGCTTTGATTCTAAATCCTTCTGATGAAAGTACTAAAGAATCTGTAAAGTTATTAAGGTCACAATTTAATATGTTGATAGCAGATCAAGCTGCAACCAATTTATTATTTATGAAACAAAATACATTTTGTAATGCTAATAAGCCGGGGAGATGGTTGGCTTATCAATTAAGAAAGAAACAGAGACAGAGAATAATAGAGAAAATAAATTATAAGGGTAAACTAGTTTCTCAGAAGGAATTAATTAAAAAATCTTTTTTGGATTATTATCAAAACCTATACAAATCTACTAATGTACAACTGTTAGATATAAATAAATATTTAGCTGAGGCAAGTTTTCCTAAACTGACTGAGGATCAGAAATATGAAATTAATGGTTTAATTACTAAGGAGGAAACTGCCTCAGCAATTCAACAATTGAAATTAGGGAAAGCACCGGGTACGGATGGGTTAACAGCTGTTTATTATAAAGCCTTAATGGAGGAGATGATCCAACCATTAAATGATCTTTTTAATGGTATCTTACAGGGTTTAGAGATTCCTCCTTCATGGCGTAGTGCTTTTATATCATTGATTCCAAAGGAGGATCAAGATCTTACTTTACCAAAAAATTATAGGCCTATATCTCTTTTAAACGTGGATTATAAGATATTTGTAAAAATTTTGGTAAATAGGCTTATGAGGGTGGTGCATCATCTTGTGCATAAAGATCAATCAGGGTTTATAACAGGAAGGTATATGAAAAACAATGTTAGACAAATTATTAATTTATTAGAATACTTAGATAAGAACAACCAAGTTCCTGCAGGGCTCATATTTTTAGATGCTGAAAAAGCATTTGACCAACTGAATTGGCATTTTATGCTAAGAGTAATGGAAGAAATGAATTTTGGTGAAAACATATTACAAGCCCTTAAGGTAATATATCAAAAACAAACAGCACAACTTATTGTTAATGGAGGTTTGTCGGAGGTTTTCACAATAGAGAAAGGTACTAGACAGGGGTGTCCTTTATCGCCATTGTTGTTTGTTTTAACATTGGAAATATTATTGATTAAAATTCGAGAGTCTCAGGAAATTAAAGGAATATATGTTAATAAAAAAGAATATAAGTTGAGAGCTTTTGCGGATGACTTGGTTGTTACTTTGTCGCAACCTGATTATTCTGTAGTAAACTTATTACAGTTGATTCACCATTATGGTTTGGTCTCGGGTTTTAAGATTAATGTAAATAAGACTAAAATTTTACCTAAAAATATGTCGAGTCAGGAGAAGCAGATTTTGGTTAACTCGACGGGTTTTGAGATTGTTAATAAGGTAAAATATTTGGGGGTGATGCTGTCTGTTTCTAATGCAAAATTATTTAAAAATAATTATGAAAGGTTGTGGGTCAGGGTACAGAAAGACTTGAAGAACTGGGAAAAGCTGCAATTATCCCTCATGGGAAGAATTGCAGTGATAAAAATGAATATTCTACCCAAGTTTCTTTTTTTGTTTCAAATGTTACCAATTTTGAAAAATGAGATTAATTTAAATGAGTGGCAGAAGGGTCTCAATAAATTTATTTGGGTAGGGAAAAAACCAAGGGTTAAGTTCAAAATTATGCAAGACTTTCGTGAGAGGGGCGGACTCAAGGTACCAAATTTGAAATTATATTATGATGCGGTGGTTTTAACATTAATTAGTGACTGGGTAAATTTGACAAACTCTGAGATACTTTATCTAGAGGGATGGGATTTACTTTATGGGTGGCATGCCTATTTAATATTTAATAAAAAAATAGATTGGGCTTTTAAATCTCATATTTTAAGAATTTCTTTACTTAGGATCTGGAGAAAATATTATAAAAGTGATTTTAAAGTACCATTATGGGCTATACCTTGGCATGCGATAGAAGGAATAAAAAGAGGGGTTAAAATGGATATGGTGTCTTATAGACAGTTACTTAAATGGGATGGACAAAACTGGCAATTAAAATCACGGGAAGAATTAGCACAAGAAAATTTTACTTATTCTTGGTTCCAATATAGGCAACTACTAGATAGATGGAAGATGGATTGTAAGGTGGGTTTTCTTAGAGAAGATGAAAATCTTATTAAGCAACTGAAGGATCAAAGACAAACCCACATTAAGAGAATTTATGGGGTTTTAGTTGAATTGGACTCAGAAACGGAACTAATTAAAGATTGTATGATTAGATGGGCGCAGAACTTTGGTGAGCCAGTTTCATTGGACACCTGGGAAACTATTTGGGTGAGAAATGTCAAATTTACTCAAGCACAGAATTTAAGGGAGAATTTTTATAAAATGTTTTATAGATGGCACCTTGATCCACAAAAAATGTCTTACATGTACCCTGACGTGCAACCTAAATGTTGGAGATGTGGTTATAAGGAGGCTTCCTATTATCATATTTGGTGGTCATGTAGAGAGATAAAAGCATTTTGGATCAAAATATGGTGGAATATCCAGAGAATTTTTAGAAGGAGGGTAAAATTTACTCCGCAATTATTTTTGTTAGGTATTGTTACAGATTGTGATACAAAGGAGGTTGTATTGATGTTAAATTTGATCACAGCCGCGAGGCTGTTAGTTGGACAATATTGGAAGAAGGAATCTTTGCCTACATTGCAGGAATGGTTTTTTAAAGTAGCTTATCTGGCGGAAATGGCAAAGATTTCGGCTTTCTTAAAGCAACAAACGCAAGAGAAGTTTTTTGCTATCTGGGACAAATGGATAAAATTTATACAATTTAGATTGGGTATACAAAAATATCATATAGCTTTTTCATAGGTTTTATTTTTATATATATTATAGATATCTTTTTTATATATATAAATATAAAGTTTTTAATTTAATTTTTATTTTATTTTTTTTATTTCTTAAGCCTATATTCTGCTCTGGGAAGCTCGGGGGGGGGAAGGGAGGGTTTTTGGGAGGGGTGTGGGGTGGGGTTTTTTTTTTTTTTATATGTATTGTTTAATTTTTTTTCTTTTGTATATGTTGTTTTTTGTTCTGTATTGTTCTTGTCTTTCTTGTAAAATTTATAAAACTTTTAATAAAAAAAAAAAAAGTGCTCTTAAGGATATAATAGATTTTAGACTCTGACAAAATTTTTCATCAGGGGTTCTTAAATCTTAGTGGCTGTGGTTTAAGAGGATTTGGTGTTTAATGCACTGCAAATTAACAAAGCAAAGCAAACATTTATATTTGTAGGAATAAAGGGTACTTTTCTTTATGAAGTCCCTCATGGATCTGCGTGGGGACTGATATTTTTAATTTGTTCATAAATTATTTTGATGGGTAAGCAGTGTCTGGTTTTCAGGAAAAAACAGAATAGCAGAACAATTATTATAGTTTAATAACAATTGTTATTAAACAGTTCAGAATGGTAAAATCCTAAAATAGTTGTGAAGAGATCAAGAAGAATTTCTTTAAATTGGATGAACAGAGTTCAATTTAAGTTAGTGTGAAGTTATCACATCAGGCATCTACTTCTCCCAATTTTACATACATTTTGTTAGGGTATAAACTGCTTGCAACTAAGTAGGAAGCAAAATAACACACTGAAATCAACCTAGTATGGCATTTGTGAAAAAAGACAATTCTATGCTAGGAATTGCTGTCAATTGTTTGGAAATAAATATATTAACACTGTAAGCCCTGAAGCAAATCCTTGGTTCATTTACATCTGGTTGTTCAATTTTTTTAAAAGGATACTATAGACCTGGAAAAACATGCAGAGGAGGGTAATGAAAATAATTGGGGGGTGCAGAAAAAAATACCTTCCTTGTGAGGCTAGAAAACTGAGATACTTTAGTTTGTAAAAAAGACAGTTTGAGGGCATATTAAATAAAATCATGCATTACGTAGAGGAAATAGATAGGAGTTTTTCTCTCGCTCTCAAAACACTTAGGATCCCTCCCTCAGGTCATGCAGAACAGTCTTAATCTGGAGTTTAGTTTAGGCTAACTAATTTGTATAGCTTAAAAAGGAGATCAGATAAATGCAGGGATGACATATCTCTCAATAGCTATTTACCCTGAAACTCATGATTACCTCTGATTAGGGTACAGCATCCAAATACCAGTTGCAGGAAAATAATTATGAGAGAGGGGTACATTCTCAGCTTCTGTTTGTGAGTACCCCAGAGGCATCTGGCAGGACACTGCAAGAAATCAAAAGTTGGAGTGAGATGGGCTTTCAATTGTTCCAGCAAAACTATTCTTAGATGTTCCTTTCTCTTAGATTCTCCTTGCTTTTCCTTGTTCTGAGAAAGTGAGAAGCTTTCCAAGGTTTCTGTCAGTGGGAGTTGAATCTTGCAATACTTCTACATTGCCGGTAAGACAATGTCCTTTGCAATAAAACATTCCAAACATTAACCTCTTACAAAAACCCATGTCCAGGATGAAAGTCTAAAGGATTTTTACTGTCATCTTCTCCTTGAGGACGGGTTACTTGGTCTCATGGAAGTATTGTCCGTGAAGGAGAGGCCTTGATGAGAGTAAACTATTCACTGTAACATTTTGGACTGATTCTAAAGAGCTCCAGAAACAACAAAAGAGCAGAAGAGATTCAGGTGAAGGCAAAAGCTACACAACAGTTGAAGCCAAATATTTTTCACATACAAGTTGATGAAGACTCAGTGAGGGGAAGATCAAAGCCAATGGGTTAAAATTACATAAATCTAGTTTCAGGGAAAGAAACTGGCAAAGAAGAGCCAGGCTGAAGAAGACAAGAGGACAATAACTGAACAAAGAGGGGCCAAGACAGTTGTGGGATAAAGCCATGGAAGGAGGAAGGGATTAAAATAAAAATGGAAGATTGTTTGTGAGGTTCCTGATGGCCAATTCCAAAGGCTATGTTGATAAACCATTCTGCAGCTGTGCAGATGTTTTTGCAATAAGCAAGAAGATGGAAAAAGTAGAAAAACATAGAAAAATTACAAATGGAAGATATTGACATTGGGTTCCCCAGATATTCTTGTAATTACATAACAGTAGAGTGGGAAGAAGCACAAAAGGAGAGAACGTATCAACCCAACTGGGCAAGAGAGAAACAAAAGACATGGACTGATGCAAATTTAGCTTATTTAGAACATGGACCCAGGCTTTATGAGATCAATTTTCTGGCCTTATGGTTGTAATAAAAATGTGCTAGGAATTACAATTAGTGAAAGAATAAAGAAAAAATATGATGCCAAATGTGTAACACACAGGGAAGCAGGAAGAAAATAAGAGCACAAAAGGACTACAATGGTAGAAAGATGGTGGTGAGGATTTAGAATGTCAGAAAGTTAAGACTCTGAAGTATAACAGTCAAGATAAAAGAGAAAAAGCCAGGAAGAAGGTGATCTCCCTTGCAACTCTTACCATGATTGACCCTCTATTTCATCACAACATTTGCATTGTATCATGGAGGGGCCATTCAGTTCTGCACAGCTGAACCTTGCTCTCTTTGCCTTTATGTGCAACAGATTTTCTGCCTTTATATTCCTAAAAAAAGGAAGGAAATCTGATTGCCAGAACTCTAGTATATATATTTATTGCAAATAACAAGGACATCATTTGGAAAATTGCTCTAGAATCAGAACTCAGAGTGAACTCCTAGGGCCAAACTACATATTTTTCAGGTGACAATTGGTAATGAAGTCCCAAAGGCCACCTCACAGAGGCACAGTATCCCCAGGAAATATGACTTTCAAGGGAGGGAGGGAGGGAGGGAGGGAGGGAGGGAGGGAGGGAGGGAGGGAGAGAGAGAGAGAGAGAGAGAGAGAGAGAGAGAGAGAGAGAGAGAGAGAGAGAGAGAGAGAGAGGACCCCAACAGCCTTTAAGCCACACATCAACCTACAAACCGACATACAGAGATTATTTTATTCTTTTGAAAAAGCATTCATGATTATATCTTTTAGTTTAGCTGAAGTTTTTAAAACTCCACTGAATTCTTTGTCACTAAGAGATGCTATCTCATCTCATCTAAAGCAGGAGATGGTAAACTGATTGCTCTTCTCTAGAACAGACATTCTGTATTTGAAACGTGAGTTCTAACAGTTGCTTTGAGCTTTTCCAAATAATTGTAGACACAGCTGTGCATCAAATTTACTTGGTTAGATCAGCACAATGCTTTGTAAAACCCACACTGAATCTAGATTGAACATATCTTTTCACTGGAATAGGCAGGTTGAATATTTGTAGCCCATGTTTTTTCTTCCAGGTAATGTGCATGGTTATCTTAAGGATGAGAATAAGGATGGTTGACATTCCATGCATCATGAATATAAAATTCAAAAGATACTTTATTTCATTATGAATCACACCTATGACATGTGTCAATGAGTGGATACCATCAAAATTTACAAATCAGTACTGCTGGTAATATTCCATACCACTAGTTATGGTATTCTGCTGTAATTGTCCTCCATTCTTCTATTCTTTCCACTGAAGACTGAATGCTCCTTGAATTTGAGCCTTTTGATTATTACAGAATTGATTATATTCCGCATTAGAATGTCTTGTTCTAGTGATGGTGAACCTTTTAGAGACCGAGTGCCCAAACTGCAACCCAAAACCCACTTATGTATGGTCGGGTGCCAGGTGGGCGTGGCCCATTGGGTGGGTGTGGCCCATTGGGTGGGTGTGGCACATTGGGTGGGCATGGCTGCAGACTGGCAGACTGGGTGGGACTAAAAAGTTCAGTCAATCAATTCCAACTTTGCGAGATCTATTTTTTTCCGCGAGAAGTTGAAATTGATTGAACCTTTTTTTTTTTTGCACACGGCGGCAGAGGCCTAAAGTGAAAAGGTTTTATAAAACACCACTGAAGGCCTAGGATTGGGGCGATAGCACCCGTGCCCACAGAGAGGGCTCTGCATGCCACCTGCCTTGTTCTATTAACTCCTCTGCGCTGCTTACACAGCCTGGAAAACGTCCATAAAAAATCTTCCATTTCACCTTTGTTTTTGATCTGATAACTCTGAATAAACAGGACAGAAACTACAGACCTTCAACTTTATTACAATAAGATAAATACATAAATAATTCTATAAACCTGTGTTGGAATGTTTTCTTTATATGTTTAAAAATTAAGAAATGATGAAAGATTGCAGAGGCAGTAGTAATGTCATTTTATAAAGGCTGGCTCCTGTTGTTATAAATAAACGGGCACATCAAATAGCAAAGCCCATGTAAAGGAAGACAGGTAGCATAGAAAAACATATGTGTAGAAAGATAAAATGCCCACTTAAGGATACTTCTGTTTTAACTCTAAGATAAAGAGACATCTGTTTTAAGTATACATAAGGAGGCATCTGTTTTTGCTGTAGATAAGAAAACATTTGTTTGTAATAAGCTAACACATTCCATCCTATATCAATAAAAGAGAATATTTGTGGCTGAGGGTTAAATTGTGGGGACCTTGGTGCTCTGTGAGCTTGGTGGTTTTCTTGTGTAGACATTTCATTACGGAAACTAAGCTAACATTTTCAGTGCTAGGAAGAAGTGGCGTTTGCTTTCACTTTGTATTCTAGTGGCTTGCTCTGTCAGTGTTGGTGGGAATGGTCTTGGAGGTTCTTTTTCAAGAGCCAATAATTCCTGGGTGCTGTGTAGATGTGTATCAATAAATTTGACAAAAATATAATCAATAAAGGTGTTTGGGTGCGTGGTATGTCTATGTATTGCTTGCAACCCTTCACCTAGCATTTTGTGCTGCAAGGACTGCACATGGACCTCTTTCATCAAGCAATTCCTGCAAATAGAAAATACAATTATCTCATTCATTTGAGATTTATTCCACTCTGCACTGAGCCAAACCTTTGCAGATTTGTTTCTCCCATTCCCACATCTTTACCCCGTCACTTTTTTGATGCAATCTATCCTTCAAGGATGAGATTTTGCAAATGGTTTCAAGACCTTCTAGGCTAGGGCTTTGCTGATCTCTGGAAGGTAATGTCCAGTATGCCACTAATTATTCTGTCTTGAGCCTGTGACAACAATAAAGCAACTGGGCAACACAACTATCATTATGGTATCAAGAGTAGATTGCAGTATTAAGACTTGATCCAGGGCTCCATATCCCCATGTATTTCTTCCTAAGAAATCTTTCCTTCTTTGACCTCTGCTTCACTACCACTAAATGCTGATAAGGTTCTAGAGAGAAAAAAAGACCATCACTTATGGTGGCTATGTGGCTGAGTTGTACATCTGTCTTGCTTTGGCTCCACGGAGTATATTTTGTTGGCTGTCACGGCCTATAAGTGCTATGCTGCAGTGTGTCATCCCTTGCAGAATGACTGTTGTCTTCTGGGTGAATGGCTTCAGCAACTCTTTCATACAGACCAGTAAGAAGAATTTCTTTTGTGAGGTTCCTGCCTTTCTAAAAGTGGCCTGTGTTGATACTTCACTTAATGTTTTCTACTAGTGTGGTGTTCCTTCTAGCACTAGTCAGTTTTATCATAGATTCTAATGTACGCATGTCATACACATGACCTGCAGGCCACATCCGGCCTGCGCAGGCCACACCTACCCAGCCCCGCAAAAAAAATAATAATCCCAGTATGTCACGATACAGCCCACGATGTGATTGGGTTTGACACCCCTGTTCTAATGGCTCTATAAAAGCTGTAGGGCAGGAAGAGGGTCTTCAATCCTTGTTCCTCCCACTTGGTGGTGGTGTTACTCTTCTATGGACCCATCATCTTCAATTATCTCCAGCCTGTCAGTTCCTGAGGCAATTTTTTCTCCATTTTCTATGCAGCACATTTGTCACCACCATGCTTAATCCACTGATCCATGCGCTGAGGAATATACAGGTACACAAAGCTCTCCAAAGACTAACAATGAAGAATTCTCAGCCCCATTTGAAGGTGAATGATAAGTGCTCCCTATTTGTTACATGTGGATTTTTTATTGTACCTTACACAGCAATAGGCAAGTAAAAGAACAAAGAAAACCAAAAACCAAAGCCACAGAGATGATCACACAATTTATCATTCACTTTCATACAATAAAGAAAGAATCTCTAAAATCTGTTTAATTTGTTATCACTGGCACATGTACAATTTGTGTCAAGTCTATCCCATGATTTCTTTTCAATTGTGTTTGATTCTCTATGAAAAAGACATCTTCTGAAGTTCTTGGAAATTTCTTTTAATGGGGATTGGAGCTGATTTTATTACTGCTTTGACAAATCCAGACTGCTTTATAGCTTTTGCTGTCACGAATCCTGGCTGCATTGTGCTCATTGTGCTATACTATTCCTATTTCCACAGAAAGAGTTTCCTCATGATTTCTTCCTTTACAAGAACATTTCCCAATTTTTCCATTGCATTCCCATCACAAGCTTCTGAAGATCATTATATAAGCCAGAGTCAGCAATGCACTCTTTCCGGATGCCATATATACAAAGTCTCTTTCATACCATCTGCAGGACTCCAAAGTCATATTAAAAATTAAGGCTCCTCATGATTGGATTGAATTGAAAGGGTTCCTTTCAGATACACATCTAAAACTGCTGTTCACACTGAACACCAACCACTCTCCAGGGATTTATTGAACCCACTGGATTCCCCAGGTCAGTCCTTCAAGTTCTGGAAAATTATGTTCCACAAAGTGGGCACCATGACAGGAAATGTTCTCCTATGGAGCTGGTTTAAGTTTTTGTGGCATTGGAAAATAGTTCTTGACAATCTTCCCTAGGACTCCCTTTAATGTATCTGAACATGGCTATCAGATCTCCTCTAAACCTTGTTTTTTTTTTTCTAGGCTGAACAACCAAATTCCTTTAGCTTGCCTTCAATTTCTTGCACCATATTTGTTGCTCTCTTTCGAACTACTGTGTCAATATGCTTCTAGAAGTGTGCTACTGAAAATTGTATATGTGGGCATACATTTAATGCAAACATAAGAGAACAATTAAAATGTCTATGGGGGTGTGTTGTTTACAACTGTTGAGGTAGCGCCTTGTGCTACAAAGGCTGCATACACATTTATTCCATCATAATATTCCTGCGAATAGCAAATATAATTTTATGATACCATCTGACAAGTCCTCCACTGTGATCCAGACCTAGCCAAACATTTGCAGGTCTTTTCCTTCCACTCCAGCATCTTTGCTCCTGTCACTTCTCTGATGTTATCTAACCCTCCTTGGGTGAACTTTGCAAAAAAGGAGCTCTCGGGCTTTGCTGGACTCTGGGGAGTGATGCCTTGTTTGCTCCTAATTGTTCCATCACGAGTCTGTGACAACATGACAACAGTTTTCTCCAAGTGGGCAGGAATAATCCATCTTTTTCATCCTCCTTGTCCTTGAAAATGTTTATAAACTCTGACAGTGAGAAGAATGAATCAATGAACAGCTTACCTCCCAGAATTGTGGCTGCTCCATCCCTGGACAGCCATTTGTCCGAAATGGTGTAGGGTTTCCTGCCCGAGCAGGGGGTTGGACTAGATGACCTCCAAGGTCCCTTCCAACTTTACTATTATTATTATTATATTGGACAACCATTTGTCCAGGATGGAATAAAGTCTCCTGTCTTGGACAGGAGGTTGGAGCAGAAGACCATCAAGGTCCCTCCCAGCCCTGTGATACTATGATTCTACCATCCTGCTCCACTTCTCACCTTGTCAAGTTGATTATTATGTGTCTGTAAGATCCGTAAATATTCTGGAGCGCCACTGTTCTGAAAGAGCCAACATGAAGGTATAGTTTTTTCTCCTTTTTAGAACTCCTTAAATGTTTTTTATTGTTTCATTTTGATTATGAAATACTGCGTATTGTCATGTAAGTATTCATTGGTTATAGCCAGTGGTGGGATTCAAATATGTGAACAACTGGTTCTCTGTGTAGATGCTGCTTCTGGAAGTCCATTCTGGGCCTGGGCAACAAAAAATTAACTATCGTTTCTGCCGAATGGGTGCGAACCGGCTGAATCCCACCACTGGTTATAGTCAAATTCATTAAACATCCTAGTTCTTCAGTCAGAGGTCTGTGTCCTAATCTCTGGTAGAATCCACTCAAAGTTGCTAAGGTGATTGTTGAATGTGTCTGTTCATCATGAAACGTTACTTTATATTAGACATATTTCTTGACAAGCCCTGATAATAGTCCTAGAAACAAGGAAGACCTTTGTTTAATTTGTATTGATTTGGGAAATATTCATCCCAAATTAATATACAAAATGGAACGCAGCTACATAATGAAATCCACAAACTGTGAAGTGGTTTCTAACTACAAACATACATACACAAGAATGTTTATATAAATATCAATTTTAGGGGGAAACTTGTATAGGAATATATATTTTTTAAAAAATATGTACAGTAACAATTGTACGATAGAAAATTATAGAAAATGTGCACAGAAGTGCAAGTTTAAGAAATATTAAAATGTGTGATTTTTTTAAAATTTGGACTTTACCAGAATGAGAAAGTGATATCAAATTGAAAAGGGGCAAACTGAAAAGTTACTGAAAAATTGATTATAGCTGAATCTGACCCATATACCCATTTCTAATAAGTACAATTCCAACATTTCCTGAATATAAAATGCTTGCCTACATTTATTAACCTCAGTCCTGTTTTCCTATTTTAGTTTAGGGTGGGCTGTTTTCTTTTTTGTAAAGATGATAGGGTTATGGAGCAGAATTAAGGTGTTATTGCTGAAAAAAAACATAAAGTGCTGTAGGCTGTGCACCTGATTAAAGCACCTGCACAGTGCATTGCCAGTCTGCACACATTTAGTCTATATCTTGTTCTACATGAAAGATAAAGTTAGGCTTGCTGTAACAATAAGGTGACCAACTTTTTTACTATGAGAAGGAGGACACAAATAAACTGAAGAAAAAAAAGTGAGTCTAATGCATGCGTGTGTGCCGTGTCGTGTTTCGGTAAGAAGTAAACAAGGCCCCTTGCGTGTGGCGCACTTTGCGCGCGGCGCACTCTCTCAAAACAATTCTCCTGTGTGGAGCAGATGTGTCTCATAATTGTGTCTCGCCGCACAGTACCGAGCCTTGACGAATCGTCATGTCAAATATAAATAGTCACATCATGCGCAACAGATCGGATCGGCATCGATCGAATACGGAGATTTACAGATTAGTCTTCAAATATCGAAAAGAAGGACATGTAGGAGGACACTTTTTTAGAGAGGACAGAACTTACAAAAGAAGGACTGTCCTCCCTAAAGGAGGACGGTTGGTCACCTTAGTAACAATGCAGCAGAGCCACTTGTCAAGCATCTTCCAACTTTCTGCTGTGCAATTTCAAGAGAGGAGCCAAGCTAAGTCCTTGTGGGTTCCGTCTTCTGTCTGTTATGTTGCATTTACATGAATGAATGGAGACCTGTAGGAGTATGGCATGGAATATTACATGGAAGTGTTATATCTATGCCTTCATCATATCTAGCCAGGATAAGATACTAGTTAAAATATGGGAAAGACCTGCCCCAAGTTGTAATCTCCCCCACATACACAGTGGAGGCTTCCTGGGAGACTCCGGTCCAGTCCTTTGTCTTTGCTCAAGAGTTAAACTTGGGTTCAAAGATCCAGGTTCAAGTGCACATTTAGTAAGAGACATTTTCTGAGTGACTCTCTCTCTCTGTTTCCCTCACATAACTCCTCTCACTTCCACACCAGTTTACTTTGTGGAGCACTTGTGGGAAAGAAAGGAGCAAGAGGCATTACATACAATGGCTCTGAGCTCCTGAACGGAAGGTCGGATATGAGTGTGATGCATAAATAGTGTGAAAGAGAGAAAAGTAGACTTGTCAGACATCAGACAGGTCAAAAGAAAAGGGCAGAGGGGGGAGTATTCTTCCATTTCTCCTCTCTTGCATACTAACATTTGCTTCAGTGTTTGCTTTCTTTGATTCTGTACCTGCTGAAATTCCTTCACAGTTAAACTTGATCTTCTTTTGCTCCTAGCTGTCAATTTCCTAATCCTGTCCTTAATTCCTTGGGGATGTGATTATTGTGGGATAGGAGATGACATCTTTTCTCCCCTTTTGCTGAAACTTTCCTTCATTTGCAAAGAAGCACTTCAGCAAACGTTTTTGTTTAAACCTCTGCCAGATTTTAGTGGTGTATAAGTGTGATAAATAAATGAATACCTGAATAAAGGAATAAATGGGCTGCAGGTGGGGAGAAGATCCAGCAGAACAGACCTAACTGGGACATTTTTTCCCCTATTGCTATAAAGAAACCTGAGGGTGGCTTCTGGAAAACCTACTTGTACAAGACAGGTGATGACGTCTTGGAAATGGCGATGGAAACGAAGGATGTGGTTGACTCACAGAAGTTTAGTATATTTAAGGCCTGAAATCCTAAACAAATCTATGGGGTGCTGAGACTCATCCATGGCTTCCAGAATTGAGGATCATGTCGATGCAGCTCCCTTTCCTTTGCTGAATAAAAGGCAGAGATTTATATATGTTTGTTTGCAGTCTTAGAGTCATCTGAAATGGCTGGAAAGTGTTCCCTTCCCTGACTTGTTATAGCTTCTTCCTGGTCTCTTTCAGCCAGTTTAAAAAAGGCATTTTTGTAACATGCTGTGTAAAAAAATCTATATGATTCCCTAAGAGTGAGAATCCCTGGATGGCACATTATCAATCAACCATTTGATTAATCAAATGGTTGATTGATAACATCATTAACATCAATTAATGTTCACCCTTGTCCACTCAGTTACAAGACAGAGATGGACAACTTCCATCACCCTAGGCTCAGGTGAGTTTTAGGGTTTTGATTTTCCTCCATCTCAAGAAAGCTCAGCCCCATTGCACAAAATTGGATTTCCAAGTCAACCAGTCTTCCAATCTGTTTAGTCCTGTCCCAAACAAGTTCAGCACTGCTCAATGTTATGATTAGTATCCAACTATCTGAGAACTCTTAGACTGTATCCATGACAAGAGCAAGGGATATAAATACAATACAATCCTTAATTTTCATGGATGGAGGAGGCTATTTTCAAAGAAAGTTCTGATCTAAATATTGTTATAATCCTTCATGCAGTTGGGGAATGTGCACAGTCAGGAGGATCATTTAAAGGCAAAACAGCATCTGCAGGAAACTTGCAAATAGTAGGGATGAGATAAACATTCTTCATCTTGTCCATTGATGAAATTCTTGGGTTCACAAACTGGGGTACTGTTGTCTTATTTATATTTTAATTTTAAGGGCTTTTTTAAAAGTGCTTTAAGCCACTGATCTTATGTCAAGGGAGACCCACGCATAAGATCAATGGCTTGAGGTGACAATTTGAGTCTTATCTTTCAAAATAGCCTTTAAAAATAATCACCAAAACGTTTGATCCTATCCATTCTGGGACTGGAAAAGGGATCTGCAGACTGTGGACACTGTTTGATGTTCAGCATTTGTATTGATTACATCTGGTATCTGATACAACTGTAGCAACTCTCAGCTATCTTTTTGATAAAGAGCAAGTAATAGGCAAGAAAGTAAATGGAGTAAATTTTTAAGTTTCCATCCATACACTATAATTCCCTTGTGGTTGTTAAAGCATGAGATGGTGAAAAGCACTGCCAGTGAATATGGACCTCCAGTCATTTTCATGGAGAGCACTAATTAAGTTTAATCCAGATTACTGGGGACAAAATTCAAGACCCACTTCAAATATGGGAATCAATTGATCTGCTGGACTGCTGACAGTTGTTGGAACCAGATTCCTTTTGTGTCATTACTTGTTCTAATTTGTATAGACAATGAACAGGGAAATTTCATGGGAAAACCAAAGCTACCAAAGAGAATTCATCTTGCTGGGAGTGGCTGACCGGCCACGGTTGGAGATGTTGCTCTTTGCCCTTGTCCTGGTCTGCTACTTGATGACCATCTTGGGCAATACAACCATCATTGTGGTCTCAAGACTAGATCCAGGGCTCCATACCCCCATGTATTTCTTCCTCAGCAACCTTTCCTTCCTTGACCTCTGCTTCACCACCAGCCTTGGGCCCCACATGCTGATGAATTTCTGGAGAAAAAGCAAGACTATCACTTATGGCGGCTGTGTGGCTGAGCTCTACATTTCCCTTGCTCTGGGCTCCACGGAGTGTACTTTGTTGGCTGTCATGGCCTATGACCGCTATGCAGCCATCTGTCATCCACTACGCTATACTACCCTTATGAACCACTCTCTGTGTTTCACAATGGCTGCTGTCTCCTGGATAAGTGGCTTCAGCAACTCACTAGTTCATACAGTGATGATTCTTCGGCTTCCACTGTGTGGACAGAATCAAGTGAATCATTTGTTTTGTGAGCTCCCAGCCTTTCTTAAATTGGTTTGTGTTGACATTTCCCTTAATGAAATTGTGATGTTTTCTACTAGCGTGGTGTTCCTCCTAGTACCAGTTAGTCTCATCACAATCTCATACGGCTATATAGCCTCTGCAGTGCTGAGGATTCGCTCAGCTGAGGGAAGGAAGAGGGCCTTCAACACTTGTTCCTCCCACTTGATGGTGGTCTGGCTCTTCTATGGCACAGCCATCTTTAGTTATCTCCAGCCTCTATCCACTTCCTCCCATGATCAACGCAAGATGATTTCCCTTTTCTATACCTTTGTCACCACCATGCTTAATCCACTGATCTACACTCTGAGGAACAAAGAAGTGCATAAAACTCTCCAAAGACTAATCAAGAAGAATAAACCCATGGATTGAAGCATCCAAAGCATCTGAAGGTTCAACAGAAATGCTGTTTGTTTGTTATTCTTGCAATAATTTTCATTGTATTCTCTATTTCATAATAGGCATGTCTTATTATCTAGGTACCACAGTACTACACAAGACTGTAAAATTAAAGAATATACAAACCCCAAAACTGACAATCAGAACTTATTTTCTGAAATGTGTTTAGCTTGTCCTGGATAACACACGTCTTGTGTCAACTCTGTCCCTTGATGTTTCAGATGTTTTGTTCCCCTGTGAAAAAGGCATCTTCTGAAGTTCTTGCAATTTTCTTTTAATGAGAATTTGAACTAACGTTATTATTCCACCCTTGCAAATCTTGATTGCATTGTGGCTTTTGCCAGGCCAAATCCTTCTAGTCTTTTGGGACACTCCTAATTACTCAATATAAAAAAAAGAGTTTCTTCATGATTTTCTTCCCTTATGAGACCAGTTCCTAAACATTTTCTTTATGCAGAGTGTGGCATTGCTATCATGAGTTTTTGAGGACTATTATATAATCCAGAATCATCAATACAATTTTTTGGGAGTCCCTATATACAATGGCCCTTCCATGATGTCTACAGGGCGTAAACAGTTGTCATTAATTGATTTGATATGAAACATGCCTATGCTGCTTGCCATTTTAAAATAAAGTTGGAAATGTTTTGAAATTACATCTGTTGGTTACAACAATTAATAAAATATTTTATGAAATGCAGAATAAAATGCAGAATGAAATAAATGTAAGGTTTATCTCCTCTTTGTAGTAGCCCCTCAAATATTGGAACACTGCTATCATGTTTCCCCTAATCCTTCTTTTGATTAGACAATTCCTGCAACCATTCTTCATACGTTTAAGCCTTCAACCCCCTAATAATCTTTGTTGCTCTTCTCTGCACTCTTTCCAGTGTCTTAACATCTTTTTTATATTCTCGTGACCAAAACTGGATGCAGTATTCCAAGTGTGATCTTACTAAGGCTTTGTAAAGCGGTACCAATACTTCACGTGATCTTGATTCTATCCTTATATTAATGCAGCCTAGGATTGCATTGGCTTTTTTGGCTGCAACCACACATTATTGGCTCATATTTAAGTTATTTTCCCTAACACTGCAAGATCCCTCTCACAGTTATTGGTATTGACCCATGTTTCACCTAATCTATATCTGAAAAAAATGTTTTTTCTTGCCTAGGCGAATCCACATTGAATTTCATTTTGTTAGATAGAGCCCAGGGTTCAAGTCTATCGAGATCCTTCTGGCTCTTGAATGTATCTTCTAGGGTGTTGTCTTCTGCTACCTTAGTGTCATCTGCAAATGTATTGAGTTCCCCTTGTATTCCCTTGTTAGAAATTCTGTTTATATAGCCCTACAGAACAAAGTACACAGTCACCATGGGCTTGACTGCTGAACTGTTTAACTGTAACAGGAAACTCTCCTCAGAATAAAAAGACCATAGAGTGTTTGCAAACTTACAAACACTGCCATCTACTGATTGGCTGTAGTTGTTGCATAAAACATGTGAACATGTATTCTAGCACCCTCATCTAAATCATTTATAAAGATATTGAAGAGTACTGTACCGGGCCTAAGATGGAACCCTGGGTGCTATCTGTACTATCTGCATTGTAACTTTTGCTACAGCAAACCCAGTTTGCATTCTGACTTTTCCATTCTTCTTGGACACTCCTTATTCCTGAATCTAAATGAAGATTTTGCTCATGATTTTCTTCTCTTATGAGAGCAGTTCCCAAACTTTCCCTCTATGCAGACCATCACATTATTGTCATGAGTTTTTGAGGACTGTAATACAACCCAGAGTCAGCAATGCAATTATTGGGGATTTCATATATATGTTTTTGTGAAAAAGAGAGTACACCCTCTTTGAGTTCTTTGGTTTTACATATAAGGACATAGTAAAAATCTTCTGCTCCTTAGCAGTTCCTAAAAGTAGTAAATACAACCTCGGATGAACAACAACACATGACATATTACACCATGTCATCACTTATTTCACAAAAAGAAAATCAAAATGGAGAAGCCTATCAACCTGGACTGAAAATAAATTGAGTGACCAGCATAAAAGAAGAACATTGAGGCAGTTCACACAAAGAGAGTGTGTAAAGATAAAACATGTATGTAAGAAAGTAGTTAATGGCTCAAGAGGAAGGGAAGGCTAAGAAGACCATAGTGGGATAGAACTGAAGAGATCCTATTTATAAACACAGATAACCATTCCAACAGCGAGATAGACCTCTGGCAGCCAAATCCTCACCCTGAGTACCAGTCATACTGACTGGAAAATCTTCCAGGGATTTCTGGAAATCACTGGAATCCTTCAACTCCCAGCACAAGCCTAATCTAAGTGCTCCATCCCTCTGCAGAGAATAATAGTCACTCAGTGGTGGGATTCAAATATGGGAACAACCGGTTCTCTGTGTGGATGCTGCTTCTAGAAGTCCATTCTGGGCCTGGGCAACAAAAACTTAGCTACCCGTCCTGCCGAAATGGTGCGAACCGTCTGGATCCCACCACTGTAGTGACTGCTACACTCCCCCCCCCCACACACAAATGTATTGCAAATGAGTGCTGAAGTCTCCCAGAACTAAAATTTTAGGACCTCTCAATGCCAAATCTGAGACCACATTGATCAGATGAACTAAGAAACCAGCTGGGCACTTAGTGAGTTGCCTACCATTTCTTGGCAGTGCTAAAGATACAGTCCCTCCATGGTGGCACCTCAATGGAGAGAAAAAGAGAGAAATTACTGCTGAGCAGCAGTTCAGGAGTATGTAGGCCTGCTGGGTTGGCTTGTGGTTTTTGCAATGCTGCCAACATTGGGAATACAATTTGTGGTAGAGGAATGTAGACTGGATGGAAAGTCCATGGAGGGGTAAGTGCCCTTATCCCCTTGTGGCTGGTCTACATTGGGTGTGGTGGCCAAAGACATTTTAGAAGTTCTATCCAGAATTGCGTGTGTGTGTGTGTGTGTGTGTGTGTATGCAGCATTAATTAAAAACAAAAGCAAACAATCAGAATGTGTGTTTGTGTGTTGCCTACCACCATTGACATAACGCCTTATGATACAAAGGCTGCACATAAATGTGTTCCACCATACAGTTCCTTCAATAGCAAAAAAAAATTCTGACACCATTGAAATTTACTCATTTATTTGCTGATCCAAGCTTTTTGCAGATCTCTTCCTCCCATTCCTGCATCTACTGTGACTTTTGTGACCCTTTCTATCCTTCCTGGGTGAGCCTGTGCAAATGGTTTCAAGGGCTTTGCTGGACTCTGGAGGGAAGTGTTCATCTTGAGTCTTGGTCTCCTGGGAATCATGACAACTTTACTGTATAGCAACTTTCACTAAATAGTGAGAAATAGACAGGAATACCCCCCCCCATTCTTCTTCTTCTTCTTCTTCTTCTTCTTCTTCTTCTTCTTCTTCTTCTTCTTCTTCTTCTTCTTCTTCTTCTTCTTCTTCTTCTTCTTCTTCTTCTCCTCCTCCTCCTCCTCCTCCTCCTCCTCCTCCACCGCCTCCGCCTCTGCCTCCTCCACCTCCTCCACCTTCTCCACCTCCTCCTCCTCCTCCCCCTTGAAAATGCCTATAAAATGTACTGTGCTGCTTCATTCCTTGCCTTCTAGGTTGATTATTGTGTGTGTCTGTGTGATATATATATATATATATTCTGGAGCACCACTGACCTGGAAGAGGCAAGATGCCAGACTGAGAACTCCAAATGTTCAATTTCTCTCCCTTTTTCTTTAAAGAGAAAGATGCATTAATCTTTGCTTTTAGCTTTTTTCTCTATAGGCTCAAGTGAAAAATGGTTCTGAAATTATTGCTGCAACGCTAGGTCCATTAACTTGAGATGGAGCCCTATGGGACTCTGTAGAATAATCAGTCTGACTATTTCCTTGTTGCTCATTGCCTCAACCTTCATTCCTGTCCATCCTTTTCACACCTTCCTTCCTTCCCTGGATTCTGTTCCTCTATTTCTATTCCTATCAATTTCCTGGGGGGTTTGTTTCTGTTCTGTTTTGGGGGGATTTCACCTCCCCACTAATCTGTCTCCTGTCCCCACCTTTCAGCTCAAGCTCTAATACCTGGAATACAAAGGTCCATTCAGAGATGCTCCAGTGACAAGTATTTTGTCCTGAAACTGTGTCATCTGCTCCTTGAATAGAAGCCAGTTCGTCCTAAGAAATAGAAAAAGAGATTCTTACCTCAGAATCATACAGGCATCCAAGGTATTCCACACCAACACATGATGAGCCTAGAGGTAGCAACGTTTCTCTTACACAGACACAGGTGAGGTTGGGGAGTAGAGTGTTTTAGAGTTATAGTTTATATAATATATAAGTAACAGGGTCATATTATATGTTCTATCTCTTTCCCCTTTTTTATCTATCTATCTATCTGTCTGTCTGTCTGTCTGTCTGTCTATCTATCTATCTATCTATCTATCTATCTATCTATCTATCTATCTATCTTCTTCATCAGCAGCAGCATTATCTATCTATTTGTCTGTCTGTCTATCTACTATCTCCATGATGAGTACTGCTTTTTCTAAATTATGAAAGCATAAAATTTGTTCTGTTTAGAAATCTTTTGAATATTTTCTACAAGTAAGTTAATGTTGATCACGAAATATGCTCTAATTTGGTTTTCATTTATTAGAGTGGAATTCACCAAAGGTAAGCTGTAGCAATAATACATCTCTTAGTTCTACTGGGTCTTAATGTCAGACCTATCACACAAAATTGGACACCCAATTGCTATACACATTTTTGTCTAGGAAATTCAATGTATGAAAAGGGAAAATGTAGCACCTAATTGCATCCTATCAGAGGAGGTGAACAAAAAGTACAGAAGAAAATTATCTGAGATTATCAATATTTTGGACAAAGAATAGGCAATGGGCAACAAAGTGGATGGAGTAAACGTTTTAAATTTCCATCCATGCACAATTATTCCCTTGTGGTCTTTAAGACATACAATGCTGAGAAAGCAGTGGCAATTGATATGGACCTCCAATCATTTTCATAGAGTCCACTAATTCAACTTTAATTTAGATTACTGGGTACAACATAAAAGCCTTACTCCAAATAGAGGAATCATGTCATTGATGGATTCTTGTCATTTTTGTACAGGATTCCTTTTCTGTGTCTTTACTTGTTCTAATCTTATAGATAATGAACAGGGAAATTTCATGGAAAACCAAAGCTACCAAGGAGAATTCATCTTGCTGGGAATGGCTGACCGGCCACACTTGGAGATGTTGCTGTTTGCCCTTGTTCTTGTCTGCTACATGATGACCCTTTTGGGCAACACAACTATCATTGTGGTCTCAAGACTAGATCCAGGGCTCCATACCCCCATGTATTTCTTTCTCGGCAACCTTTCCTTCATTGACCTCTGCTTCACCACCAGCCTTGGACCCCATATGCTGGTGACCTTCTGGAGAAAAAGCAAGACTATCACTTATGGTGGCTGTGTGGCTGAATTGTATAACTCTCTTGCTCTGGGCTCCACAGAGTGTATTTTGTTGGCTGTCATGGCCTATGATCGTTATGCCGCCATCTGCCATCCACTGCGCTACACTACCATTATGAACCACTCTCTGTGTTTCATGATGGTGGCTGTCACCTGGATAAGCAGCTTCAGTATCTCACTAGTTCATACAGTGATGACTCTTAGGCTTCCTCTGTGTGGACGGAATCAGGTAGATCATTTCTTTTGTGAGCTCCCAGCCTTTCTTAAATTGGCTTGTGTTGACACTTCACTTAATGAGGTTGTGATATTTTCTACTAGCGTGGTGTTCCTCCTAATTCCAGTTAGTCTCATCATGGTCTCCTATGGCTATATAGCCTCTGCGGTGCTGAGGATTCGTTCAGCTGAGGGAAGGAAGAAGGCCTTCAACACTTGTTCCTCCCACTTGATGGTGGTCTGGCTCTTCTATGGCACAGCCATCTTCAATTATTTTCAACCCCCATCCAACTATTCCCATGATCAAGGCAAGATGATTTCCCTTTTCTATACTTTTGTCACCACCATGCTTAATCCACTGATCTATACTCTGAGGAACAAAGACGTACATAAAGCTCTCCAAAGACTAATGAAGAAGAACTAAACCCATGGATTGAAGCATCCAAAGCATCTGCATTTCAAGATTCCCCACAGGAGTGGTCTTTGTTATTTTTGCAGTACTTTTGATTCTACCTTTCCCTCTCTCTCTTTGTTCATAACAAATGTGCAATACATCTTGGTACCACAGCAGTACTCAAAATTAATAAATTAAAGAGTATACAAACTTCAGAACTTCTTTTCTGAAATGTGTTTAGCTTGCTGTGGATAAGACGCTATTATCTTGTGTCAACTCTGTCCCTTTATGTTTCAGAAGTTTCATTCCCATTTGAAAAACGCACCTTCTGAAGTTCTTGCAATTTCATTTTAATAAGAACTTGAGCTAATTATATTATTCCACTGTAGCAAATCCAGTCTGCATTGTTTCTTTGCTAGACCAATTCCTGTCTGCATTTCCCTCCTTCTTAGACACTCCTAATTTCTGAACCTTAGAGAAGTGTTTGCTCATGATTTTTTTTCCTTATGAGAGCAGTCCCCAACTTTCCATTTATATAGACTTTGATATTGTCGTGATGGGTTTTAAGGACTATTACATAATCCAGAGTCACCAATGCAGTCTTCGGGGATTCCCTATATACAAATGGAATGGATGGAATGGAATGGATGGAAACTAATCAAGGCGAGAAGCAACCTGGAACTTGTGTGAATAATTAACCAGTGGAACAACCTCCAGAAGCGGTGAATGCTCCAACACTGGAAGTTTTTAAGAAGAGACTGGACAGCCATTTGTCTGAAATGGTATAGGGTTTCCTGCCTGAGCAGGGGGTTGGACTAGATGACCTCCAAGGTCCCTTCCAACTTTTTATTATTATTATTATTATTATTATTATTATTATTATTATTATTATTATTATTATTATTATTATTATTATTATTATTATATACCCTTCCATGATGTCTACAGGGTGTAAACAATTGACATTTAATTTATTTGATATGAAACATGTCTCTGCTGCTTGCCATTAGAAAATAAAGCTGAAAATGTTTTGAACTTATACAGTATGTGATAGTTACAACAATTAATAAAATATTTTATGAAATGCCAAATAAAGTAAAGAATGAAATTAACTATCAATGAAAAAGGTTACGGTAGCAATAGAAAGTAAATAATCACATCAATATTAGCATACTATTAAAAGGCTCGGGAGAATAAAATACCTTGTTGGGCATTAAAGGACAATGCAGACAGCACTAGTTATAGCTCATTGGAGGGAATATGACCAATTTATGGGGCTGAAGAAGACCTGTTTGTAGATACTGATATAGAAATGAGAATTGGTTACATAAAGAGATACACACAGATAAACTGAATGTGGTGTGAATGGAGAATGTCAGAAAAGTCTGTGATAAAACAAGTGATAGGATCAGTCTGGGCTGAAAATAAATTGAATGACCAGGATGAACAAAGAACATTGTGCCAGTTTATTCACACAAAGAGAGTGTGTAAAGATGATTTCAAAACAAATTGATAAATATAGTAGTAAATAACTCAAGCGGAAGGGAAGATTAAGAAGGCCAGAGTTGGGTGGAGCTGAAGAGATTCTGTTTATAAACACATATAAACCAACAGATCAACTGCTATGTAGACCACTGGCATCCAAATATTCACCCTGAGTACCAGCCGTGCTGCCTAGAAAGTCCTCTAGGGGTTTCTGGAACCCGTTAGAATCTCCTAAACAAAGCAGCCAGTGATCTACTGTGTGTTTTGGTCCATAATGAGTTGAGTTATAGCCATTGTGGCCATGGCAGTCATAAACCCCTATCCAGACTAAACCAAGGCAAGCCCACCAGGATTGCTGAAGTATTTCCATATTGGCAGCTGAGGTGGGGGGGAGGGGAGAGACAGAGACAGAGACAGGGACACAGAGAGAGAGAGAGAGAGAGAGAGAGAGAGAGAGAGAGAACACTATTGAACAGTGGAACAAGAGTATATAGACCTGCTGGATGCACATGTGTTTTTTGCAATGCTCCCAACATTTGGAATACAATTTGTGGCAAAAAATGTAGAAAGTCCATGGAGGATGTAGGTGCCCAATCTCCTCCTGATGGGTCTAGATTGGATGTGGTGGCAAAGGCATTCTAGAAGTTTTACCCAGAATTGTGTGTAGATGTGTATGTCCAACTGTAATAAAATAAGAAGCAAACAATTGAAGTTTGTGTGTGTCTGTTTCTTGCCAACCACCCTTAACCTGGCATCTTGTGCTGAAAAGGCTACACAGAAATTTGTTCCCCCATACAATTCCTGCAATGGCAAATTCAATTTTCTGACACCATTTGAAATGTACTCCTTTGTTTGCTGGTCCGAACCTTTGCACATCACTTCCTCCCACTCCTGCATTTTTGCTCCTGTCACTTTTCTGACACCCTCTATCCTTCTTGAGTGAGCCTTTGCAAATGGTTTCAGGGGCTTTGCTGGACTCTGGAGGGAAGTTTCTTACTTGCCACTAATTGTTCATCTTGAGTCCTGGTGCCCTGAGGCTCTGTGGCAACTTTACTACATAGCAATTTCATTAAATGTTCCTCCCTTTCTCCTCCTTCTCCCTCTCCCAGAAAACACCCATAAAGTCTACCATTCTGCTTTCTCAGATTGATTATTGTGTGTCTGCATGATATCACATTTTCTGGAGCACCACTGACTTGGAACAGCCAAGATGCTGGGCTGAAGAAAGTGGGCTGATCAGAGTTTTGACAGAGGGAGTCTTTCCCTTCTATCTTTCCCATTTCCTTTGATGTTGCCTATTCCTAATCAACACAATATTCAATTTGCAAGATTTCTCCTTGTTGCTTATTATTGTCTTTCCAGTGTATTTTCTCTTCTTTTTTTCTTTAAACAGAAAGATGCATTAATCTTCGCTTTCAGCTTTCTTTCTTTCCCTATAGGATCAAGTGAAAAACGGTCCTGAAATTATTGCTACAATGCTATCTCTATTTGCTTGAGATTAAGCCTTGTTGGGCTCTATGGGCTATTCAGTCTACTTTCATGTTGCTCATTGCCTCATCCTTCATTCCTGACAACCCTTTTCGGTTCTTTCTTCCTCTGTTCCTATCTAAATATTTCTGTTAGCTTGCATCCAGTTTCATCATTGACTCTTTCTGTTCTCTTTTTAGGGAGTTTCCCTTCCCCAGCTATCTGTCTCCCCACTTTTCAGCTCAACCTCTAGTCTCCTGAGTAGAAAGGTCCATTCAGAGATGCTCCAGTGGGAACTATTTTGGCCTGAAAAAATATATCAACTGCTCCTTGAATTGAGGCTGATTCTTCATAAGATGTAGAAAAAGAGTCACAATTAGGGATTCTTAGCTGAGATCATACAGGCATCTAAGATCCTCCAAATCAACGCATCCAGATGATCCAAAAGGTAGCAAATTTCTCTTATCCAGAAACAGGTGAGGTTAGGGAATGGGGTTATAGTTACTTATGTAATACACACACACATAGACATATATATGTTACAGTAAAGGAGAAGATTACATGCTCTGTCTATCTATCTATCTATCTATCTATCTATCTATCTATCTATCTATCTATCTATTTATCTATCATCTATCATCTATCTATCTATCTATTATCATCTATCTATTTTATCTGTCTAATCATCTATGATGTGTGCTCCTTTTTTAATTAATTATAATTTTTAATTATGAAGGCATAAAATTTCTTTGAAATTTTCTAGTAATAAGTGAATGTTGATCATGAAATATACTGTAACCTGGCTTTTCATTGATTACAGCTGACTTCACCAAAGGTCAGCTGAAGCTATAATAAATTCCTCCTAGGTCTTAACGTCTTCTAGACTCTGTTCCAAGGTGTTAACGTGATTTTTAAATGTATCTGTTCATTGTAAAATGTCACCTTTTAATGGACTTTTTTCTTTACAGTCTTTACTGATATTAGTGCTAGAAATAAGAAATTAATTTGATTTGAATTTTAATACGAAATTGGGCAATTTATAGTTCCCAGCTTAGATGCAAACTGGAATGCAGCTAAACAATAAAATCCAGAATCTAGTTTAGCATCGATATAGATACACAGAGACCAATACATAATTATCAATTTTAGGGGACATGTGTGTAGGAATATATATATTTTTAAAAAAACCTGCATAGTAAAAATTATATTGTGGAAAACATTATACATAGTAGATATGCACAAAAATATAAGAATATGCTAAGAAATATTCAAATTAAAAGTCTTTTTTAATTTCTAAAATTATACATTAATGTCAAAATGGAAAAGGACAAACTGAAAAGTTAATTAGAATTTGATCACAACTGACTTGTACCTATCAAATCTGTAATCCCTTCCTAATGAATACATTTCCGGTGTTTCCCATCAATTGCCTAGAATCATCTATCTGCCTTTTGTTCTTTCATTTAAGTGTGCTGGATTTATGGTGGTGATCCAAGAATTAATATGCAATTTGCTGAAAAGCATAAAGTCAGTAAGATTTATACCTGGTAAAGTTGACTCCGCAAATATTAAACTATAATTCATGGGGTAGGTTATTTACCTGTATGAAAAATAGTAGCTGGGATCATGTTCTCTCTCTCTCTCTCTCTCTCTCTCTCTCTCTCTCTCTCTCTCTCTCTCTCTCTCTCTCTCTCTCTCCCTCCCTCCCTCCCTCCCTCCCTCCCTCCCTCTCTCTCTCTCTCTCTCTCTGTATTATTTCACTCGGTGCTTCTTGTGGGAAAGAAAGGAAGAACAGGCACCTCATACAATGGCTCTGAGTGGAAGGTGGGATATGAATCTAATTCATAAATAGTGTGAAACAGAAAAAAGTAGATTTGTCAGACATTAGACAGGCAAAGCTGCCGGAGGGTCAAGAGAAAAGGATGGGAGGGGGAGATGGACTGGAGTGTTCTTTCATTTCTCATCTCTTGAACACTGAATTTTGCTTCAGTTTTGTCTCTTTCTTTGATACAGTATCTGCTGAAATTCCTTCACTGTTAAATCTGTAGAAACTTGATCTTCTGTTGTACCTGGCTGTCCATCTTCTAAAGCTCTTTCATAAGTCCTTGTGCGTGTGATATTTATGATCAGTGGTGGGATTCAAATATGCGAACAACCGGTTCTCTGTGTGGATGCTGCTTCCGGAAGTCCAATCTGGGCCTGGGCAACAAAAAAATTAGCTACCGGTTTTGCCGAAGTGGTGCGAACCGGCTGAATCCCACCACTGTTTATGATGTAGGAGATGACATTTTATCGCCTGGTTTCCTGAAATTTTCATTTATTCTGCAAGGAGCATTTCAGGAAGTGTTTTGTTTAAACCTCAGAGTCTCCAGATTTCAGTGAGAGATAAATGTAATAAATAAAGGAATACCTGAATAAAGGAACAAATGTGTCACAGGGTGGGGAAGGGATCCAGCAGAACAGACTTAATTGAGACATCTTTTTTCTTGTTATATAGAAACCGTAAGGAAGCTTCTGGAAAATCTACTTGTGCAAGACAGATGACGACGTCTTGGAAATGATGATGGAAATGAAGCAGGTGGTTGAGTCACAGAATCTTAGTATATTAAACGCCTGAAATCCTAATCAAATCTCGGGGATGCTGCGATTTGCTCATGTCCTTCAGAATTGAGCTTCATGTCCAAGCAGTTCCCTTTCCTTTGCTGAACAAAAGGCAGATATTTTATAAGTAATCAAATCTACCTCTGTTCCCTGTTATATAAGTTTGTTTGCAGT